CTCTCCTTCTTGCGGACAAGGTCTTCGTAGTCGGTGGAAGTCTTGGACAATTCGGAAAGTTGCTGTTGCACCTGACGGTTCTCGAGGGCGAGTTGGGATTCTCTCGATTTTGACGATTGCAGATCTTTCTGTGCTGTGCGCAATTTGACCTCGAGGTCCTGGTCGATCTGGAGGAGTTTGCTCTCCAAGTCTCGTGCTTTGCGATCTTTGAGGCTGAGCTGGCTCTGCAACATCTTGATCTCGTCCTCGAGCAGTCTCTCCTGTTCACTGCGCTCCGATTGCTTTTGCGAGATCTCTTCAATGGAGCGCTCCAACTCCTCGGTGCGTTCCGAGAGCTCTGACTTCTCCTGCTCCAGCCGTGCAATAAGCAGTGCTGCTTGCTCCAGTTGAGCTCGGTACTTTTCAACATCGTGCTCAGCCCTCTTCTTGGCTTCCAGCAGGTCGTCGAGTTGGTCCTCCAGCCTCTCTTGGTCTTCTATGGCGCCAGAGAGCTTCTCTTCGAGTTCTGCTTCCCTTACTTGTAGACGCTTGAAGATCTCTTCCTTGTCCAAAGCGAGGGCGCGTTCACTCTCCAAGGTCTGTTGAATTCGGACCATCTCGTTGTGTACGTTCCGGCGATCCTCTTCCAGCTTGTGGCGGTCATCAGATTCTTGTTTCATCTTGTCCTGAAGCTGGCGAATCATTGCATCCCTCTTCTTGACCTCTGTTGCGCTGCGAGTAGCGCCCAGGAGTGGCTTCATCTTGCTGACAAGCTGCCACCACGGATTCTCCATGAGGTCAAGGTAGGTGTTGAAGTTTCTCTGGATGATGCGAGTGGCCTCCGTCCGGAACAGTCTCTTGTAAGCGACTCGTCGCTGAATGTAGCCACGTGCAACTGACTGGAATCGAGACATGATTTCGGTAATAAGGGCATCACGCTGTTCTTCCAGCTCGGCCAGCACACCAGCTCGGAAGAAGACCTTCGTAAGGCCCACGCGGTACAAGCTCCTGTCTAGACCAAGCTTCTCAAGCATCATTGCCGCTACGGCTTGGCCCTCTTGGTAGCCTTTCGGCATGTTTCTACAGAGGACTTCGTATCGTTGACGGAACTCAGCAAAAGGAAGGCGATTGGGAAAGCCGGTCCGGGCAATGCGGATTCCTTCGAGAACACCGTTGCATCGCAGCTGATCGAGCACGAGCAACTTGTTGAATTGCTTGGGCTTCTTCTTGTGGTTGGGCAGGATACAGCGGACGAAGTGAGGATGGGTGGAATGGAGCTGGGCCATCAGGCTGTGGAGCTGCTCCTTGTGGCGCTGTGCGACGGTTCGGAACAATCCCTTCTTGACCCGATTGCGGCTGGCACCTAGATCATCGTCAACGTCGGCGCAGTCGGCAAAGAGATCGGCAATGTGCTTGTCTGTAGATGAAGCAAGGAGACGAGTGATGTTATCGTTCAGTGGATCCTTGTTCTTCTCCAGCCAGCTTTCAGTGGAGTACTCGACTTCCGCTGCATAATGCGTGAGGATGAAGCCTTGGCCGAGTCGAGAAGGGCGGTACTTGTTTGATTTCTTGTCCCACAAGGAGTTGAGCTTTTCCGTGAAAGACTTGTCCGTAGCCTTGGGCATGACACAGTCTTCATCCAAGCAAGAGAAAATACCAATTGGATTGGGTAGCTCGATGAGGTCAATCGTAGGCTGAAGGTCGCGTCCAAAGTCAATGAACTGCCATTCAATCTGTTCCCTCGCGTACTCTTCTTGCTCAAGTACGAACATGTGATGGTTGAAGAACTGCTGGAGCTTTTCGTTGGTGTAGTTGATGCAAAGCTGCTCGAAGCTGTTCTCTTCGAAGATTTCGAAACCGGCGATATCCAGGACGCCAATAAAGCGCGAGTCGTCGATGCCCATGCCTGTGCGGTCCAGCTGACGGTTGATGCGAGTTACGAGATTGCCGAAACCTCTCTCGTAGATACCCTTGGACAACGCGTCCAATCCCAGTCGGACCTGCTCAGGAGTCTGAACCTTTTCAACCCATTCGCGGCCAGCCTTGACTCTGGGATGAAGCAAGCCTTGAAGGAATGGCTCAAGAGGAACACCGAGTAGCTTGCAAACCTTGGCTGCCTGTTCCTTGGCATCAGGTGCCAGCCGGGCTTGGTCTGCGGCACGGCTTTCCTTGACGACAGAGATGTTTCCGAGATGTAGCACTGCAGCGATTGTGCGAATGATGGAGTTCTGGTCCTTGTCTAAGAAGCCCATGACGTTGAAGGCCTCCATCAACGAGTCCCACTCCTCTCGGTCGGACACGCCAACGATTGTGTCGTGGCCAGCGCGAGTGTAAGCAAAGTCCTCGACATCCAAGCCATCGAGGAGGAATTCCTGCTTGAGCTTTCTGTCTGCACCCTTGAGAAGCTGATAGAAGATGTGGTAGTTTCTCTCATGCCCGTTGATCCTCACCACCCGAGACTTCTCCAAGAGGTACCAGTCAATGAAGGCACCGGAGATGGCTCCGCCCTTGTTGAACTCGATGCGGATGAATTTGCCGAATCGTGAAGAGTTATTGTTCCGCACCGTCTGGGCGTTACCGAAGGCCTCAAGAATAGGATTGGCTCGGAGGATCTGTTGTGATAGGTTGGACTGTTGAGACTTGTTCTTCACGGGGGACTCGGAGTGGGCGACGGCCGCAAGGTACTGGATCACCTTCTTGGTGTTCTCTGTTTTACCAGCACCGGACTCGCCAGTGACAAGAATACTCTGATTCTCGCCTTCTTCCACCAGATTGCGGAAAGCATGGTCGGCCATGGCATAGATGTGTGGCTTGGTGTCCTCCCTACTCCTCCCCTTGTACATATTGATATATTCGTTTGTGTAGATGGGTAGCGGGCAGTAGGGGTTGACTGTGACCAAGAAGAGGCCGGAGTAGGTGTAGATGAGGTCGGCCTGGTATCTCATGTGGAGGTTATGGACGACGGACGCCTCGTTCAGATGGGTCAATTCAGCCATATCGTTTGCCTTGTCGAACTTGGCGGGGTTGACCTTGTCGACGCTTTCGGCGTCGACTTCTCGTTGCTGGAGTTTGTATGTCAGCTATGTTACGACCACACATGACAGGCGCACCAGAACACTTACTGTACCATCGTCACATTGAACGAGTATCTTGTTGCTTCCTGTCTCCTCAACCACCCAGCCTCTCACAAAAGCAGCTTGCGGGTCCTTAAGCCACACATAACGCTTTCCTGAGAAGTCGTTCTCGCCCTCGATGCCTTTGACAGTGTCAGAACCCCGGCGCATCTCCTCCGTCTTGATGAAGGAGGGCGCAAAGGTGCCAGACCCGGAGCCGCTGTTCCTCGAGTCGGAGCGATTGTGACGGAAGTGGCCGGTGCCTGAGAACATGATGGGAGCTGCGGATGGCGCAGGTGCTGCAGCGGGTGCTGCTGAGGCAGTGGAGTGGTTCCTGACGTGGGATACGGGCGTGGTGACGGCCGACAGCGGAGATGGTGATGAGAAGATTGCGGATTTCGGGCGGCCGCTGCTAGGACCGGGCGAGGTCCTAGCAAAAGGATTATTCCGTGGTTGCGCCATGATTTGAGCGCTGTGAGAGGGTGTATGATATCGTCAGAAGAGCGCAGCCCTCAGGGTGGCGTGTCGTGTTGGGTTCGTGTCGTTCGTCGCAAAACGTCGCTCATGGAGTACACATTAAGATAGACCTGGAGGCAAAGCTGACGAAGGGCAACGAAAACGACGAAACTCTGAAAGAAAACAATATGAAAGACGTCGCGGGATCACAGCCTCTTGGACGAAATTGGCAGTGACGAAAAGACGAGATCAAGGCAATGTCGGGGAGGCTGGGAAAGTGGAGGATTTACAATCGACGTAAGGATGGATATTGTATTGTTGACTCTGGACTAACAAAGAACAGGGATTCAGGAGTACGGTTGCTCAGGGTACGCCTGAGCAAAGTAAACAATGGAGGGGGCCACTGGGGGGGAGCCCCCACGTGACAGACGCCAGCCGCCAGCGACAAATGTGACGCGAGACCGTCTCAAGTCACACTAGCTGGATGGGGACTAGAGGCAAATGGAGTGTCTCCCCACTGTTGGCCACGGCTATCCTTGCATACTCACGGCCTCGAATCTCCATTTGACTCGGGCCTTGTTTGTTGGACCTGCCTGCCCACGGTGCCACGGTGCCACGGTGCCCTTCCGTGCTTGCCCTTCTTTGCCCCAGTAATCCCGCCCGTCCTTGCCCGTGAGAGTTGTCGAATACTGCCCGAGGGCCGTCCACCCGCCCCAACCTCCGTCCGTAGGTAGCAGTCGCATTCGAGTCGCAAATCTAGACGCCAATGTTTGCTCACCCTCACCCACTTGCAGCTACTTTAACCTTCAAAGACATCAACGTTCCAAAGCTCACCTATTCAGCATCTTTTTGTGACGCGACGGTTCAAGGCAGTCGCACAATCAGTAGCATTCAGCGTTGCTTTCATCTGCAGAATTTTCTCTTCTCACAAATCTATCCGAATTCGGATAGCCGCTGCTACGCGCCCACCGCCCAACGCCCACCGCTGACCGCTGTACGGAGGAGGTGCATGACGACTGTTTTTCCGACGAGAGCTTTTTTCGCGTCGTGAAATTCTCCCTCCTGTAGGCGCGAGGCAGAGCAAGTCAATTCCAACATCACACCTGCCAACCCTGACCTCCCACCAACACCACCACAGTCATCTTCTTCTTCCCTCCACCGCGAATTACGAATTGCCATACTCCTTTCGCCCTTGCCCACCGACTCGACTCGACTCGACTCGCCCAGATTTTCCCACCTTGCACCTTCTATTCTAGCGCATCAAGCTAGAGACAACCTTCCTCCACCACATTTATTGAAGGACCGGCAATCAGAAGCACCATCGCGATCACACACTTGCCACCACTCCCCTACCTATTGCTTTTGGGCTGAACTCTTTCTTCAAACCTTCCCTTCGAGTACCTTTTTGTCACAAGGTAGGCGGTCCAGCAGTCACAGTCGCAGGTACTCGCCATGAACAACCACTACCCTTACGGGTACCCGCCGTACCCAGGCCAGCCGCCTGCTCAACCGCAGCAGCAGCAGCCCTACTCCTACCCGATTCCACCGCTTTTCGCTCAATACCCTCAGCACAATGAAAACACCTTTGATGCTGTTTCGCATACACAGCCCGCGTACGAGCAGAATCAAAACATGATTCCTGGCCTTGGCGGCTACGGTCATCTCCCTCAGCTTCCCCAGCTTCCTCAAGGCTTTGGTTGGCAGCAATCGCACGAGCAGCAGCCAGCTCCTCAGCATCACTGGCAGGCCCCAAGAGACGGTCCCAATCTCATCCCAGCGTCGCAGTACTACCAGGCCGACAACGTCCCGATGCCCAAGGCCCCCGTCGCCTCCGGTGCTCTCCCTCCTACCGCGCCGAAGCGATCTACGAAGCAAACATCGAACGATGCCGAGGAAGGCGAGCTCTCCGACGGCGAACTCGACGATGTGTACGAGCCTCAGGAGACCCTTCCAGAGGCGAACTCACGCCAGCAACGCCGAAACGCGCCGAATGCTGCAAATGCAAACGCGCGCAATGGCAAGAGCAGTGTCGGTTATCCCATCGCCAGCTCCTACGGTGGCCCAAAAGATGGTGGGATGAAGCACCCTGCAGGTGGTAATGGTGTGTATTCCGTGTTTTTCTTTCAGATGGAGATTTATTGTCGGTTCAAAGCTAACAATCGGTAGACCGAGAGCATTCCGGATCATACTCCCCTCATCTGTCTCCTCACGAAGTTCACCCGCGCATGGCGCCCAACAATCAACATGGCGCTTCCTCCTCGCAGACGCATGTGTCTGGTGGACAGTTCAATCAGCCTGTTGCGACAGCCGCCAGTCAGCAGCAGCAAGGCAAGAATGCAGTGGAGGACGCTAGGCAGAGAGCTCGGTCCGCTATCAGCAACCTTTGGCCTCTGGGTGTCCGCCGTCAGGACTTTGTCGATGAGGGTATTGACAAGACCGTTGTTGACAACCTCTTGACTGACTTGAAGCTGGATACCAAAGCCCCCAGCCAATTCTCCATCCCAGGCCTTTCCACTCCCGCATCATTGCCCGGGCTCTCTTATGCCTCTGGTCAGCCTGCCTCTCAACAGGCCAGAACGTCAGGCCCAGCGCTTCCCCCAAAGCCCCCGGCTCAACAACAGTCATCGCCTTCAGCGGTGAAGTCGGCTGGAGAAGAGAGAAAGGATCGTATTGCTCGCCTGTTAGCTGCAAAGGGTGCAAAGACGACAGCATCTTCGTCCACCAACACTGGTGCACAAGCTGGTGCGTCAAACGACAAGACACTTGTCCAGCAACAAAAGATGGATGCTCTGCAGAAATCCCGTGAAGCCCGCGCTCAGAAGGCAGCGGATCGCAAAGGATCTTTGCAATCCTCTCAATCAAAGGAGGCTTCCCCAGTTGATCCTTCTCGCAGACCTCAATCAGCAGCTGCTAACGTGCCGGTCGTGGTGCCTGCAAGCTACCTTGCTCGGCCCAATGCCCTGCAACAATCGGCCGATCGTCAGACTGCTCCGGCTTCAGCCATTCCTGGTCTTTTCACATCTGCTCCACAGCCTGCGCCTATCATCAACCAGCGTAAAAGACCCGTCGCATCCGACTTTGTGGCCAATCCTTATGCCAATAAACGCCCGTTCGGCCATACTCAGCAAGACACCCGCTTTGTCATTGATGTTAGTGAAGGGTCTGATGACGAGGATGTTGAGATGGAGATTGGTTCTCCCACGGACGAGCCATCAAGCACTCAGCAAGACACACCATCTCTGAGACCGGCATCTTTCCGCGACTTTCCGCCCCTGTCCAATGGTCTTCAACGCCAGCTTTCGAGCCCTGCTCCAAGCAACGTCACCACCCCTCAGTCCGGCGCTGTAGGCTCTCAGCCAAAGCAAGCTCATATTGACGTCATGGACAAGCAGATTGAGGCCATGAAGCGCAAGATCGCCTTGGCTGAGGCTCGCGCCAAGCTCAAGGCGGCCATGGGCGAGAAGTCACTTGGCCAGAAGTCGGCTGGACAGACACTAGATACTCCTCTTGATTCGGATGGTGGCAAGCCAAGCATGCGAAGAGTCCAGTCTATGGGTGATTCCCATGCATCTGATCCGCCCAACGGCCAGCAGTCACCCGCGATCGCCGAGCCCAGCAGCTCAATGCGCTTGCCCAAGCCATCGGATAACCGCATTCAAGGTGACTCTAGTCGCTCTCAGAAGCTTCGGACTGTTAGCACCAACCTCCCGCTCCTCGAGAATAGACTGCAGACGAAGAAGAGCAAGCTCCGCCTTCTTCAGATCCAAATGTCTCGCCTAGAGCATGAGATTCGAGAAGAGGAGACCGAGAAGCACAAGTTGACAGAGGAGATGGAGCAGCTCGAACAGGACTCGGACGAGTCTTCTGAGCCTCAGAACCAGCTCAAAAGCAATTCCGGTAAGTCTTCACCTTGAACACATTGGACATAGACTCAATATTAACGTACCAAAGTCGATCCCGTTGCCACTGCAACGTCCACAGTTCCCCAGTCCGAGATGCAGACTCCTTTGCCTGCTGCCGCAGACGCTGAGCAGAGTTCAAGCAAAGTGGCTGAACAATCTAGCAGTGCTGCAAGCGTGCGTCGCAGCAAGTCTCCTGCAATGAGCCTCGACAAGGACGCTTCCGACGCGGCAGATGATGCCGAAAACGCGGTCACTGGTAAAGCCGCAACGAGCCCCTCTCAAGTCCCACCCTCCACAGAGACCCCCATGCCTGCGCTTCATGAGACTCCTACCAGCCCCGAGACTGCGGGTGATGATGATGCAATCACTAGTGATGATGCCTCCGATGTTGCCATGGCCGAGTCCGATGACTCCAGCTCATCCGAGCCAGAGCATGAAGACGACTACGAGCCCGCTGAGAATGTTGTTCCGGCAGCTGCCGCGAAGTCTCCGTCCACCAGCCCAGTCGCAGCAGAGAGCGCTGTTTCGCTTGTCAACAGTGACACTGACTCACAGCAACCGAGTGCCAGAGCCTCACAGATTCCCGAACAGATCTCGCTGGGAGTCAACGAGTCGACCCCTGAGCAGGATGTCAACGCCGTGAGAGAAGTACTCTTTGTTTCGCGCCAAGGAAGCGCTTCGATTACTGACTTGATTGCTAGGCCCCGCTTGCCACACAGAGCACTGATGAGGCATCATCGTCTGGAGAACGCTTCACCCCTTACGAGAGTCCGCTGCAGTATTTCCGTGCTTACCGATACCATCCCAAGTTTGCTGAAACCGTCCCTGGCGGGCTCCGGTCCCTCACCTACAGCAACAGGATTGATCCGAATCTGCCCATCTGCCCAGACCAGCTGGCCAGCCGGGAATGCCCTCGGGGTGCTGACTGCATTTACCAGCATTTCGAGTCCATGAAGCTGCCGGGTAGGTCGCCTTCACCCCGCAAGGACTAATGACCACGTTGCGTGTCCTCGAGGCATGTCGAACGCTGACGGTCGCCCCCCGCGTTTTAGACGACCAGATTCTCCTCCAGTTGGGTGGCACGACCCTGGAAGGACCCGAGAAGACGCAATTCAATGATGGATTGCGCAAGTTGTTGCAAGAGATGAGATCGCAGAACATCAAGGACTTCCCCAGCATTGCAAAGGGCATAGTCGAGTACCACAACCGCTTTACTGGCGACCCGTCAAAGATCCTGCCTCTTGGCAATGTTTCGATCTGAATGGCGGAAGAGATACGAGCCTGATTGAGCTTCGTTTGTATCTCCCCAATGTCCACATCGGTCGGACTGTTTGAGTATTGGCTCATCCCCTTCCCTTTCCCTTTGGCCTCAGAGGATTTTTTTTCTTTCCCTTCGTCTTTACATACATACCCCATCGCATACCTCTCAGCAGAGGCCCTTTTGGCCAGCTGAAAACAGTCTTGGGCGGCGTTTGCGAGATACCCCCTCTTTGCGTTACTTTCAAAAGTGATTCGACCTGAGGCAATCAGGAATTGAGGCACACAGATACAATGGAAAATGGCAAGTAGGCAAGAAAAATAGTGTTGGAAAAGAGTGGCTGAGACCACTCCCCATGTTTTGAGTTGAGATTACTGAGGGATGGCAAAGCATTTGAGTTGCTTGTTGTCACCTCGAAAGAGCTGTTCAGGTGGCCTTACTTGGGTCGTACGTATTCAAATCAAACTCGATTGTCTTCATCTCTTGCGAAAATGGCCACATGTGATGATGATGATGATGACGATATCCTGATGTGTCACAGTTGAAACCCCAGTCAGAAGAGCCTTGGCCTCGGTACGTGGAATGCAACTAGATTTACTTCTAACCAAAATACAGTCGCGTTTCTAACAGATATTAACAAGCTACATCCGCATGCCATTTCCGATGTTTTACCCCTCGATCAAACTGACTCCCCACTCATAAAGCCGCCCACTCCTAGCTATGTAGTATGTACTACCAAGACAGGTTGAATAGAAGAAGAAGTAAGAAAAGAACGCAGATCAAGTAAGACTTGAAGCAAAAAAAAAAAAAAAAAAAAAAAAAAGGTGAGCAATCGGTCTATACTACTGACGCTTGACGCATGAGAGAAGCGTCGAGAACAGTATTACATGCTTTTTGGAAGAAAAGGACAAACAGGACATAAAAAACTTCAGCCGTGAAAACAACACCAAAAGATCCAACACCCATTAAGCAGTCTCGATGGAGCTCCCATGACTCTTCTCATACGAATCAAAATTCACCAACCTCGGTCCCGCATTCACCCTCTTCCGCCTCTTGGGCACACCAACAGTACGATCAACAGGCGGCTCAAACAAGTGCGAGCTACACAGCGCCGGATGGAATACATTCAACACCACCACAGAGATCACAATCATGACGCCCTCGAATGTGATGAATAGATCCTGGCGCGCCATAAGGGGTCCCGTCCACCCGCCACTGAGTTCGATGACACGGAAAACGCAGCGGATGAAGATACAGACGGTGGAGACGACCAGCGCGCCCAAGAACCCCTTGAAGCGCCAGGAGCGGCGGAGGCGGACCATGTCTGGGTGGTTGTTGAGGGCGCAAGAGAGGTTGGGGAGGTGGGCGTGGCGGGAGGCGAGGTAGGTGCGGAGGGCAAAGTCTGCGGCGACGAGCATGAAGGCGAACATGGTGAAGACTTGGAAGGCGAGACCTGCGAGCATGACGGCGTCGCCTTTTGCGGTGGGGAGGTCGCGTTTTGAGGCTACGGAGGCGAGGGCGCCGCCTACGGCTTGGAGGGCGAGGGAGATGAGGTCGCAGGGGATGAACTGGGGAGATGTTAGCTTTCGGAACTTTCTTCTTACAGGATTTGGGTTACTCATGAAGAGAATATGAGGATTACTTACGATTCTGGTGTACCATGTCGGCGGGATCCTCGAGTTCTTCGGTCCAAAGGCCGTGACAATCTGCCTCAGACAGAGATAGATCCCGGCAGTAAGGAACGCCGGACCAACAGTCAAACAGCAAACCTGCACCAAGAAAGGATTCTCGTTCCACTGGTTCTTCCAGCTCAAGATGCGTCCCGTATACCCAACCATCTCGGAAACAATGCCAAACATCATGGCCACACTAAACATATTGGCCCGGCGGGTGCGGTACATGGTATACGCAAACCAAAAGAACGACAACGTGAACAAAGCAAGAAAGATGGCGTTGGCGACGATGGACACGCGGTAGGAGTAGAAAGAGATGACGCCTTCCTTGCAGTACTCGAGGTCGGGCTTGAGGTAGCAAAAGGCGGGGAGCCAGCGAGCGAAGTCGGCCTTGAGCTGGTTGATGACCGCCGGGGGAGGGGGGTTGTTCACACTGTGGCCTGTGGAGGCGAAGATGTAGTTTAGGATGCGGTCTGGGTCGACGCCTGATGGGTCTGATTGGACTTCTTGGATGATTTCCATCATTTTTGGGTAGTCCATCTTTGCTGAGTTGGCCGCAGTGTTGCGGTGTTTGACGAAGGGAGATGGATGTGGATGATGGATGAAGAGAGGGGATGGGCCAAAGGAGCTTCAATGTCCTTTCAATGGCAGAATCAGACAAGGGGATTGATGGCAAAACTCTCAGAGAGAGGAAAGAGGTCGGGAGAGAAGAGGGAAGGAGGCGTGAGGGATGATATACTGTCGACCTCTCAGGGTAGGCGGCAGCAATATTCTTTCGTGCGGGCAAGAAATCATGATCGAGCTTGCCGTAGCCCTCGAGAGTACTTGTCTTCGGCAGTCTAGGTCAAGGGCAGAAAACACCTTGATACGGGGCAAACGCTCCCCGTTCAATGCCCTCATCACCTTCCCGTGCCATGCCCTGCCCGCAGATGAAGAACCCTTTTGGACTCATCTCGTTCGACTTTGGCAGCGTTTGGGGGTCTAGCCACTTGCACATGGCGCCGCTCGCCATGCAGGGGAAAGACTTAAATCGGTGGGCAGAGTGCCCATGAGATATATATGCAGGCACTGTAGATACTGTCTTAATTCTCTCATCACAGTGCTTTAGGTAGCTCCGTCACCTATGACAGTTTGTGGCGTCCCGAATAATTGAACCCGTATCGATTTGAGCTGAAAACAGTTTCTCCGGGCTAATTCTACTTGCTCGTTAAGTGGAAGAGAAGAAGTCACCGAATAATCTTCCACCATGATGAGGATCTCGGTGGCCACGGTTCGGCCGCTGGCGTGGAAATAGTGCTGGCGTATACTGGATCATGAAGAAATTACAGATTTTGATGTTTCCCTCTTAACATAGCTACCCAAAGTATGAACAAAAACATAAGGAAATCAAAACCACACGCAGTTGTCGAATCGCTCAAAGTAAGCAGGGGCAAGCGAGGTTGCAAGGGTGTTCATCCAAACTCTCCTAGTCCGGAGCTTATTCCAATCTTTCTGCCTAGCTCTCCGCACTCAAGGCGAGGTTAATCATATCGGGCCGCAACCCAGATATACTTTTGCTAAGTGAGGGGGAGCTCCCGATCGATGAGCAGGAAAGCTTTGACACTTGTCCAATTTATTGGAAGATATCTTCTCACTTTAGTAGTCGCCAAGAAATGTCCAGACTGATAACTTGTTAGGTACGGAGGTGAAGACCATGTGGCATCAGAAGAGGGAGACGAGCGAAGCACCGGGAGTCAGTTCGCCGTTTGGTCAAATCAGGATGAGTACAGTGAAATACATTACACTACGAAAGATGTGCTGTTTTGCCGCCTTGATCCAAGCCATATCCTACACCTCCCAGGTCCATAGCTTTCAATACCTACGGCGCAACTGTCACGCGCTTCTTCTTCTTCCCACCAGTCTTGTTCTCATCAGGAACCATATTCGCAAGCCCCTTGGGGTCAATGGGATTCTTGGTGACCACGCCGCCCAGAGCCTTACTCGTCCCGAGACTGATACCCCTTCCTTCGCGCATACTATCCAGGCTCAGGTGGCTGCCTCCACTTCCGCGACGGACGCCAATGCCCTTGAGCTTGGACGTTGGCGACTCGCGAGTGTCCAGCGAGCTGTCCGGTCTTTCCTCGCCTTCCGCTGCGCGGCTGGAAGGCCTATCTGGAGAGGGCGACGGTGACTCGTCGTCGGCTGCAACTTGGGAGTATGGAGTGCGCAGGCGGGTGGTGTTATACGGGGAAGGAATCCCCGAGGGACGATCCCGAATCTTGTTTTGGGGAGAGGGGGTCTCCACACTCTCGACACCGTTGCCATTCCGGCCCTCGTCCACGGCATTCGAAGCTTCGCTGGCAGAGACATCGCCAGAAACATCGCTGTCCCTGTAAGCGTGTTTCTTGTATGCATTCCCAGACCCCATGAGACTCTCTTGCCTCGCCAGCTGATACCGGTCATATTCCTCCTTGGTATGTTGAGCATCGGTGAAACTGTCGAGGGCATCGAAAACGTGAGGGAACACCTTGACATTGTTGTCTTTACCCCATAGGAAGTCGAGATGCTCATAATGGGGAATCTCGGTGGCTATTGTCTGGGATGGGAGCTCCTTGAGCATCACTTTGATGTCGACCAATGAATCGCTACCGCCGTAAACAAGAACGATGGGCGTCTTGATGTTTCGTGTGGGGTATTTCGCGACCTTGGTGTACTTGCTAGAAGAGCTTATCGACATGGGTGGGTGGACGTCGTCATCGTACATTTGGAACGACTTGTTCCGGATAATCTGGAACCAGTGAACCACGCACTTCGTGCTGGTGAAGGAGTACAGATGAGGATATGCTGCAAGCTTTTGGCTGAGGGTGATGTTCTTCGTCTGCCAATTGAACAAAAATGAAAGGCCCATATCAATGACTCTAACAAAGATGGGCGGGTAAAGAATGGACTGCCACATGGTGGCGGAGCTGAGGATGGATCGGCGGCCGAAGAGGAGGAACAGAACCTGAGGTGAGGCTTTAATCAGAGCGTCGACGATTCCGTTGGAGAGACCTGCTGGCGACATAGCCGGAGCCAAGGCAATGAAGACGTTGACCTGCTGGTTCAGCTTCGGGTGGATAGCAAGGGTGGCAAACGCCTGAGCAGTTCCTTGGGAGAACCCAATGTACGACAAGCTCTCCTGCGAAGTTGTCTCTAGGATGTAAGAGATGCTGTCCGGGATATCGTGGAAGGCGAACTCGTCGATCGTAAAGTTCCAAAAATCAGTCGACTTGGGCGAGTGATGTACCGACTTCTTGGAGTACTTGTTGCCGCGGTTATTGCCAAGCTACGTGGATAGTCAGCAAATGCGCCCAAGTAATTGCAAGGCGAAACACTGACCCAAACATCGTAGCCCTTCTCGACGAGCACAAAAGGAAGACATCGCTGCTCGTCGGTCAAGCAGACCCACACCTCGGAATTCATGAGCAGCCCATGGTGAAGGTACAAGACCTTCTTCTTCAAACTTCCCGGCCCGCTGTTGATCTTTTGTTCCTCTTCGCCCTTCTTCCATGCCAACCGGTGCAGACCAAGCAAGTACCCATCCTTGGTCTGGAGGACGTGCTCCTCGGCTTCATATCCATACAGACGGCAAAGGTCCACAAAGTCGGAGGCGTCTCTCACAGAGGTGGAGATGGCTGCGCGGCAATACAAGGGTTAGCGCAAAGTAAATCACACAACTAGAGGTTGAAACAGCCGCCAGACAAACGAACATTTCTTTTTCTGCTCGGCGCGCTTCTGTTCCGGTGTCGAGAATCGGTTAAATAAACGACGGGAAGCTCTATAGAAGAGCGAGATGAGCGGCGAAGCTGTAGGGAAAGCGAGTTAGCTAGCTTGGACGCCACCGCTCGGAGGGAGGCGCATTTCGTACGCAGAGCCAAGGTCAGGATACGGATGATAGCCTCGAGCCCGACAAGTAGGAAGGACCCCACTAGAGCTAAATATTCGACGCTGCGCAATGCCATTAGTGCCAGGCCAAGTCTCATCCGCGAGTTGCGCTGCATTGGAGAGGAGCTCGAGCTTCGAGCGAGGGGACGAGGGGAACCTTGGAAGGGCCAGAAAAAGGGATACCAAGGGAGAGAGAAGGAGAAAGAATGACCGTAGTCAAGCACGGCGGGCAAGGAGCATCTCTTACATGTTCAATCGCCCAATGAAAGGGATAGCCATCGTGATTGCGCGATTGGAACGAGGTTAATCTAAGGTAGAAGCCGTGGCGCGGCAGGAACGAGTATGTCTAAGAGAGAAGGAAGAAGAAAAGGTGTTGCAAGGGGATTTCAAGCCATCATCGCTGAATGCGCAGACGACAAAAAGCTTAAGTGATTTTCCGACGTAAGGTACTGCAGGTAGTTATTCGACAGGCAATGGCAATGGCGTTGGTGTTGGCGCGGGCTGGGCGCAAGAATGTGTCAGCGGAACGAATCTGGAAGTGAGTGGTCCGCGGTGTGGGAAGTCTGAGGTTTCTAGAGGGAAGAAGATGTAGGTGATGTCACATGTGAGGATGGATGGGCATCCCATCTGGGTTGGAAGCTCCCAAAAAGGTCCAGGTCCCAAGGTCACAGCACACCTTCCCAAGTTTCCCACGCGGTGCCACGCCTCCTTGGCCCCCTCCGCCCCCCCCCAAATCATTCCAATCAACCAGATCTGACAGTGTGTCAGTGGCAGGGACGCTGGCGTGTGAACACGCGGTTGGACAGAGGAGCCATGCATCCTTGCCAACTTGCCCCCCAAAGTGGGATTGTACTTATTGAAGGACTGCAGGGACATCCAACTCTAGCGGCCCTGCTCTTGCCTCTGCGACTCTCGCACCTTGCAGAAGACCGCTGCATAAAGGTGGGGTCGTATCCTCTCATTTTGACCAATCACAAATGTGGTGTTTTTTCTTTTCGCTTTCCCGGGGCCCGGGGGGGATCGCTCATCGCAAACTCGAAGCTCCGACAGCTCCCAGATAGTCGCACCACCTTCCGTGTACTCACTCGTCTACCGAGGGAATGCCAAACCACCGTCACCATGCCTAGCTCTTGCAAAGAACTGCGTACGCTCTCTTACTCACTTCTATACACCCGACAGCATGCTAACACTTTCCCTCCAGGCGAGGCTCTCGCGCAATGCCTCCAGGAATCCGAGTGCGTCATGGTCCAGCGCAACAGCGCCTCCGACTGCCTCCGATCGCCCCTCGTCGAGGGCCTCCCCACAAAGTGCCAGCAGCTCAAAAAAGGTTTCGGCGAGTGCAAGCGCGGCATGGTCGACATGCGCAAGCGCTTCCGCGGCAACATGCCCGTCAACTACAAGACCATGAATGACGCCGAGAGCGGCAAGGGCTACCAGCTCTATGCTGGACGGCCTGCCTTTGCCGGCGGCAGGGGCGAGACCGACGGCAACGAGCCTGCGCCTAGGGACTGGCGCGAGGTTGAGAACGAGCAGTATCGCAAGGAGCAGGAGGCTGCGCAGAAGAAGTGATTTGAAGAGAAAGAGGCAGACACAAGACATTGCTCCTGAGAGAGGGTGCAAAAGAGGAGGGGAGGAGGATAACCGCTGACAGGCGCGGCGTAGGATACAATACTTGTACAAACAATGTGTATGATCTGAGGAGCGAGGCATAGGGAGGCGTCATGGCGTTCTCAAAACACACAAAACCGGTGGCCTTGTTTAGGACAGGCCCGAGCTGCATATTCTTGGATCCTCACGACGGAACCAAAGCATGCTTCTGTATTCAAAAAGGATTTCTAAAATTCAGACGAAAACAGAACTTCTCCACTAGGAAGATTGGCAAATAAGTAGAGCGTCTGATCATGATGAGATGTGAATCTGGTTCTACGGGGTATGGCCAGAAGTGCAGTTCGTGAGGACTCCGAGAAACCTGGCATCCCTAAGTACACGACTGGGCCTGGCCATCTTCGTTGTTCCAGAAGAAGAAGAAGAAGAAGCTCAGAATGAATGTTTGAGGAGCGCAGTCGAGCGAGTAATTCGTAGCCTCGTTGCGCACTCTTGACAAGACTGACGATAAAGCTAGTACTACTCAGACGCCTTGCGTATATTAAAACAAGAATTCCGAGGTAAAGGTGAGTCACTTTGACAGCCAGAAGCCTATTGTTAAAGTCTCTTGCGCTCGCCGATATCTGAAATCGCCTTCTCGCTATCAAACTCCAGCGTCAACTTATATTCACAGATTGTCTGCGAGCTCGAAGGAATACGACACAAAGCAGCAAGCATACCGATCATCTCAAAGGTTGACAAAACAAAAAAGAAAAAGAGTTCACCACCGGTGTGGCTACATCTCTTGGTGCTCATGCTGGGATTCGAACTCGGGTACTCGGTAGCCTGTTGTCGAGTAGGCTTTGGGCGTAATTTGATTGTTGACCTTGGACCACTCCACCACCCAGCCAGTTTGACCTGACCAACCGACCTAGGAAGGCGCCTGCTGTGCTGGTGACAGGAATGGACTTGGAGGGGTATATAAGGGCTGGTCGTGTATTCATTCAAGTGTGTATTCAGGGCAGTTTAATTCATCACACGCGTGACTCATTGCCTAGTCCCTTTGAGGTTTTTTATTTGAAGTTGACCACAGGTATTGAGAAAAGCTTACACTTTACAAACCCATCTTTACATAATCGCCTGTTGATATTTACTAGCATGACTACTACCATAGACCCCTCCTTCCTTATTCTTTTCACACCCCCTTCAGCTCCGTTATGGAAGGATATATCACTGGGCACCCTGAGTTTGGCTTGGACAGGGCATCTAGGTCCCCCCTGAAATGATCATAAAGACAGTCTCCTAGCATAGAGGCACCACTTGCCATCTTGTGGTACATGGAAGAACCCGAGGCCCATCGACTACATCAAGGACAGTTGCCTTCATACGAGCTCTTTATCTGTAGTCGAAGTCACGTCCTGGGACGCGTATAGGGAACAACAATGAGTGCAATAAATTAACATTATATGACGCTGGCCCATTAACTTTCCAACGTTTATCCGCAAGCGATCGGATTTTGGAATCCCGAATACGTCGAGATATGGGCCCGATCAACGGCGGAAATCCACCTACACAGCCCAGTTTCCCCGGATCGTCCCCTCTCCACAGATTATGTCCATTAAATTGTTCGAGTCTGGTTGGTCGGTACTCCCACAGGAGCACCATAATCCCTCGCACCAACGAAAAGGTCCAGACTTTGCAAGGGACCCTCCACGCAATTTCGGACCCGCGTCGAATCATTCCCGTATAAAGACGGGCATGGCGGCGCGGGCCCATCCCGAGCGCTTCACCGGGCTTGCCCAACTCTCGGCGTTATGATGGGCTGACATGAAATAAAGAAGAAGAAGAAGAAAAGTTTGGCGCCCCCCTCCCGTTCTGTCACTCTCCTTCTCTAACCCGTCCTTATCTCACAGAGAGACCAGGCCAGGCGAGTCAGGATGGAAACCCCCAACCTTCTCAGCCCTGTTCTCTATCTCGACGGAGAGACCGAGCCCAGGTGAGGCAGGCGGGGATGTATAGGATCGAGCGGGAAGGGAAGAGAAAAAATAATAGAAGCGCCGTCGCTTCAGGCTCACGCGGTTCTCTCCAGCGGATTCTCGTCATCCGCGGCCAGCCGCGCCGGGGTGTTCATAGTTGTGCCGCACGTTTGCCCCGGCGCGTGGACTCTTTTCGGACGGATCATCGACGCTTCAGGCCCATGCGGATGCCTCCCAGCGGGTTGTTGTAAAAAAAGGTTTGGTTGAAGAATGATTTTCGATTCTCGACTGGACTTCGGCTGGCGTCCCGTTGCCGCGTACACAGGAAAATCGGAAGATCGAAAAAAAAAAATTTAAGTTTTGTTCTACGCTTCCGAGATCAAGCCTCTCCTAGAAGGGAGACGACCTGGCCAGCGGAACAAAGGAAGAAAGGTGCACTCCTGGCCTGCTCGACGTCGGAACATGACTGTAGGTTTGTGATCGTGGCTTGGTTGGCGGTCATGGCGGCGGAACAAGGGAGGCAGGTTGAGACGATTTGGAAAGAAGAAACGCAGGAATCTTTGGATGAGTTTGGCGGAGAGACTCGGCTACGTGGCGAATTCTGTGAACGAGGGTAGAATTGCGCTGAAGAGAAAAGAAGAAGGAAAGACCGGTGGAGATGAAGGACGGGCGAAGACTGATTTATAGAGAGCGTGAGACAATGTAAGTCATGCCAAATATGATATGTGGTGAGGTGGAGTTGAAGTTGAGAAAAGGTTTGGGGCGGCAAAGATGGAGGGGTCAAGCCGCGCATTTCGGTGTGATCTGCAGCCGTGACACCCCTCCACCAGGAGAAATGGCGCTAGCGGGCGATGGTCCGCCTTGTTCCGGGGCTCGGAGCTTGAGGTGGAGGTACCTACGTCCTACTGGACGGCTACGGATACTCAGTAAGGTGCTGGTGGGCTGCGGGCACTTTGGCCCCTCTCTCGCTGCCCCTCCAACCCCCCCCCCCCGGGCAGTTTCCAGCTTGAAGGGGACGTGGAAACGTCTCAACCTCCCACCCCTTCCCACTCCAAAGGACTAAAACCCACGGAAACCTGTGACAATCTCACCCTCGTCAACCAACGGTCCAAACCTCTCGGTGAAACTACAAGCGACTCGCAAATCCTCCCAAGAACTCGATGGCCTGATGTCTGAAACTTGATTCTGCAAATCGTCGATCCGTCACCCTTCACACGTCGCCGGCCTGCCCGTCTGCCAAGAGCAATTACAGCTTACCTCACTCTATCTACTGAGTCTTACTCGCTTGCGGCACTGCATCCTCACTCCGCTTACCTTACCTCACCGAACCCCCGTCGTCCAATTGCTTACGGTCGTACCCACGACGCTCGTCTCGGCGTCCTTGTCGTCTCGTCAACTTCTCAACCGGCGACAGCGGGGCAGGTAACGTGTCAAAAGACGCAACTTCAGCTTGTTGCCAATCTTTAACCTTATTCAGGGTTTCTTGGCAGGCACATTTCATCCCTCCTTCCGACGACAAAGCCGGATCTGGATTTTGGGCAGAAGAGCAACGCCAGAGCAGGCTGAAATAGTCCTGCCGACTCTGTGAGGAAGTCCTGCTCCGGGTGAACCTTCGTCGAGGCTGCAGGTTGCGTCAGTAGAGAAAGCAGACGGACGGGCATTAGGCACTGCGAGAAACCAACCAGTGTTTCCAAGTCCGACAGGCATCCTCGAAACAACCAGAAACTGACAAAAACCACCGATCAAGATGGCCCCGACTATCATACAGTGGATCCTGGATACACGGCAATTATGGCCGGAGGCCACTGAAACGAAGCAACTCGAGCAAGCCGTACGTACTGCACCCCGTTCCTGATCGAATCCGCGTTGCTGTTTGCCCGTTGCCCCATGCCCGTTTCGCGGCTCTGTATTATTCAAACATGTCCCGGCGAACCATTCCAAAAAATGCTCGTCCCAAGTTGTCCCCCCTACCTCCCTTCTCTATGCAACAGCAACTTCGAACTTCGAAAGCTCCCCCACCCCCTGCGCGCCATTTACCCCTGGAACAATGGGACCGCAGAAGAAAGAAGAAGAAGAAATTGAGAAACAAACTGACACGAAACCGAACCCGCTCAAAAGGCATCCCGAGCTTTCGCACTCCTCACCGCCGACGAGCGTAAAGCCGTGCTAAAGTACTACCACGTCCGCGACGCGAAGCTGTCCCTGGGTTCGCACCTCCTGAAACGCTACGCCATCAGCCGCTTCTGCGGCGTCCCCTGGCACGATGCCACCGCCGTCCGCGACGAGCGCACCAAGCCCATCTTCCGCACCGCCGACGGCACCAGCCCGCTCAGCTTCAACGTGAGCCACCAGGCAGGGCTGGTCGCCATGTTCGCGGTCCACGGCTACGACGTCGCCGCCAGGGGCCCCGTCGACGTCGGCGTCGACATCGTCTGCACCTCGGAACGCCGCACCAGGGATCACGGCATGCTCAGCAAAGAAGGCTGGCCCAAGTTTGTCGACGTCCACGCCGACGTGCTCTCGCCCATCGAGGCCAGCTTCCTCAAGTGGCAGGTCCTGGCGGCGATCCCGCCGGGGTTGAAACCGGGCGCCTCGCTCGAGGACGTGGCCGACTTCAAGCTGCGGTGCTTTTACGCGCTGTGGTGTCTGCGGGAGGCGTACGTCAAGATGACGGGCGAGGCACTCCTCGCGCCCTGGCTGGGGGATCTGCAGTTTAAAAAGTTCCGGCCGCCGACGCCTGCGGAGAACTTTGGTGCCGAAGGCGAGGCGGTCGCGGATCATGAGATTGTTTTCAAGGGGGCCAAGGTGGAGGATGCGAATGTGTCCCTGAGGGCCCTGGGTCCCGATTACATGACTTGCTCTGCTGTCCGGACGCCGGAGCACAAGGAGGACGGGCTCGCTTTCGAGCTGGGGCCGTACAAGATGCTGGATATAGACGAAGTGCTCGCTTTCGGAGAAGAGCATCAGTAACTTTTACTTGCTTACATATCCGGCTTTTATATAGATGTTTGTAGATCTGTCTCATTATTGAGGGTGATGACTCTGTATATTGCAGTACTGGCTGCAACTGATTTCAAACTTGGATTGTTCCCGGCAGACCTTTCATACCTCGTATCTAGACCGTTCATCGTTCTCCTCGTATTCTGAAGAAACAAATCGGAGCCTGCCAACCTTCACGCAGGTTCAAGCTCTCTAAAACTATTTGGCCTAGGTTCAAACCCCGAGCCTCAGATAGCCTCTGAGGACCTCGGTTCACCAGAGAACAGATCCGTACAGCTCTCTTGATGTTCCTTGTTCATTCCCATCTACTCACATGACCTATCACAGTACTAACCATAAAAGCAGTGCTAAAATTGCCGTACATACATAGTGGTGATCACAGGCAAATCATGGATTTATTCTTCCCGGGATACGAGTTCCGTTTAGCCTCCAGAAAATGGTGTCGTATCTCATTTCCTAGGTCACCGACCGCATCAATCGTCAATTTGAAATGGTTCATCTGTGCCCATCTTTGATGGGCACGAAGCAACATCCCTCAACAGACCTATCCATGAGATAGAGGACATCTAAGCCTGGGAGGCTCTGCTATATTCTCCACGTCAAGTATGTGGTCACGCGGGTAGCAAAATCATCCGCCGGTTCTCCCAAGCTCTCTCTTTCCCTCAGGGTTTATTCAGCACTCAATAAGTCCAATATTCGATAAACACTACAAATACTATTAAGAACGGGCTACGGAATTTTCTGAATGATTTAGAAGTAATTTGCCTTTTTTTCTCATACTGAAGTGGCAGTTTTGGCTTCGAAGACCGGCAGATAAACACGTTACCCGCGTGCTGGTATCGTAGAAACTGATGGCGGGTAGAGCTTTGTGGTAATTATTGAGATGCCGATGGTGAGCTGGAAGATTTCATAAACGAGAGGAACACAAAGTGACGACAGAAGGGGTAAGGTAGGAAGTCTCTTTACACTCATTACTAAGGAAGAGATCGCGGTTATATTTATGTTGCGCTAAGTAGGTACGATTGTCTTCACAAGTCGCTGTTCCTTAAGTGCAACAAAGCCAAAGTACGACTCGGAGCCGGACTTAAAGTTATATGCCTGTTTCTGATTCTCCAACATCTTTTCGATTTCCCCTTCTCACGCTTATAACTACGGATTGATCTTATTCATGGCAATATCAGGCGCGACGCCACCTTGTGAGCTTATGCGCACCCAGCTGACTTAAGACTGATCCTCAAGGTGACGGTAGCTCGAAATACCTTGGTAGTATCGGAGATACCCTCGTCGCCGTCGTCAAGAACGATGCCGCCGCCTCAAGTCACTGATGTATGCCACATTCCAATACTCACCCATACACCCATCACACATTCGATACCTCCTTTTTCTTGTCAAAGTTGAAAAACATTGTAGGCTATCGCTATACGTTTTCATACCATGTCTTACCTCGATTATCTCCTTGATGTCTTCATCAATGCCTTCATCGATTCCTTCGTCAATTCCTTCGTCGATTCCATTTTCGATCCTATTTTCGACGCTTTGCTTTCCAAGTATGGTTAACTCCGAATCCACAAGTAATCAGCGACTGTGTAGGCCCACCAATGATAGATAAGTGTCTAGACGTCCCTTGTTCTCAGTCATCCCGCCAAAACGAACATTGAATCTGTCGCCAAGATCCAGCATCAACATAGGTCCGCCAGCGCAAGTTCAGGCCGATGCGAACTTAGGTCCCATATCCACTTCACCTTCAACCAGCTGCTCGCCTCCTCCTCCTCTTCCTCCCCTGGGATCTCCCCAAACGCCTCGACGGGAAACAACCAAAAACCGAGCGCCGGCCTGGGCGCCGCAGCCAATACCTCGGGTCCATCGAACTCAGGTCGCTTAGCCTGCAACCCCGATGCCGTCGAGAAACACCCCGCAGGCCGATTGCCGCCCCCACGTCCTCCGGCCGCAGGCGTGTCCCACCCGTGAAACCACCACTGCAGCTCAAGCCACCGAAAGTCCTCTTCATGAAGGACCCTCGCCGCATCCTCGCGGTTGCGGACGGCATCCTCCTCGCTCGAGGCGTACATAATGCGGACGTCCAGATCTCGGACCTGGCCCCTGGTCGTCATGTCCTCAGGCCGTAGACCGGCGTCACGAAGAAGCACACGCCAGCCGAGCGGGCCCTCCCTCGGATCATGCAAGCTCACACCAATTTTTTTCAAATCCCGAGCGATTCCGACCCTTGGATCCGGCACCGGTGCGTCAAAGAAGGTGAAGCTCGGGAACACGGGGACGCCGTAGTTGAAGACGTGAACGCGCCTCCAGTCCAGCACGTTGAGGGCGCGGGCGCCGCGGGGCGTGCACTTGAACCAGAGGCTTTTGAGATCCTTTACGGCGGTGGTTCGAAAGGCGTCTAGTGAGGGGCCTTCGGCGAAGGTGCGCTTGGGTGGCGATGGGTTGTAGACCGATGTCTGATAGTCGGGTTCTTCTATGACTAGGTGCTGGAGGCCGCGGCCTTTGGGGTCGTGAGCGTGGAGGTCGTGGATGAAGTCGAAGAAGATGTTGTGCGCTTTCCCGTAGGAGACTCGGAGGTAGTCCCAGTCCAGGTTCAAGTGGATGACGGATGTTCTTTCGCTTTGTTTGTCTGGTCTGAAGCGGCATGGCAGTTGCGTAGAGTAGAATGACAACACGGCGTCTCGTGCTTCCCTGTTCACTCTCATGATATCGGGTAAAAGGGGTCGTCGAGTATCGATGATGGCCTTGTAGTGATACCCAGTCACCCGACGGCCCAGGCTGTTGAGGAGACCGTTGCTTTCATCATCATCGTGTCTCTGCTGTTTCCCGCCCTTCTCAAGGACAATATGTATCATGCGATGACGATGTAACGCATGCTTCCAGATCAAAAGACGAATCTCTACCGGGAACTGCGGAAACAACATAAAGCTGGATTTTTTGGTTATCACAGGGTCTGGATTGAACAGATTGAGGTGCGGCCGCCTAGGCATCGTCGTTTCCATCTTGAGGTTGTGGTTGATACATGATACCTCATGAAGCCCCCGAGAATAGACGGAATGGAAGATGGCTTCACAAGCTAGCAAAGGTAGGAATCGTTTGTTTCCTGACGTAAGGCCAGACATGAATGCGGAGGTCGTGGATGTGGCGTCCAACGATGTCTCAATTCGTCGAGGCGCAGCTGTCGTGCCGTCCTCATTTGGGGTATGTCCATCTACGTCTTTCCCGATTAGGAAATTCGATGAACTGAGATAGTTGCGATACGTCACGGAATCCACCCCGGTCGCTATTGCGGCCAGATCGTCGTTGGCTGTCCGGAATCGTTTCTGGGAAGTCATCATAGAAGGTGTCCAAGTCGATGCTAGGCTGTTGCTACAGACTATAAATACATAATTTGCCTAGGACAGCAACAATATCGACCAAGATGCCCCTTCGGAGAAACCAGAGGCGTAGCCGCAGGTGTTGTGCTATGTTTTGAGGCGAACATTGGCCGCTGACGCGGACAGCAGCTGTGAAGCTCTTCGGGACCGATCATACATAATCGTGTTAAGTTCATGGATGCCCTGGACTTGGATTGGACTCTCAGTGCCGCATGGCGTTTCTAGGCATTACATGTAAATTCGTTGAAGAATAGGCCATCACTAGGCAAGGACGTCCGTTTGCCTCTGTCAAAGTAGTCGGTAACTCGCCCCCTTCCTCGATAGTTGAGATATAGATGCATCCATGCATCCAGGAGAAAGCTGCAGCCTCATTTCTTCGTGACTCTCCTCAGGGATAGAACAGAAGTTGTGACGAGGCAAAAGCCCAATGAATATTGATGTTGAATTTTAACCCTCTGGCAAGCAATCTTTCCGTGATAATTCATTACACCCTCAACCCCGACCCCTCAAGCTTCTTCCAAACCTTTTCCGCATTCTCAGCCAACCTGGGCAACACAACACCAACCCCACTAGGCGGCTCAGCACGGAAAAGAGGCACAACACGCATAGCCCCCTTGGAAACCTCCAAAATCGTCCCGTCGCCATACTCTGGATTCTCACAAAGCTCAAGCATACCCCTAGCAATCTCCTCCGGCTCAAGGAACAGCTCGACGCCTTCGCCCTGCGTCTTGTGCTTCTTCCCCGGGTCCTCCAACCACATTGGAGTCTCTAATTTCTTGTCAGCAAATATCCTGGTTCCAGAGTCTCAACGTAAGGATGTAGATGTTGACATAGAAAACTAACCATCACGGCCCCAGGCGCAATAGCACTACACCGAATGCCCAACCGATCCCGAATCCCGGCCATACACCGTACAAAGCCGTGCAAGCCATGCTTACTCGCAACATACAACGGCGACCCAATCCCCGCCGCGTGGCCCGCGATACTGCTCACATGCACCAGACACCCCCTTCGCCCCTCCTGCGTCCAGTACCCAATCGCAAGCTGGCTCAGCCGGATCGGATGCGTCAAGTTCACGTCGAGGACAGCATACGTCCCCGGGTCCGCGTCTGCTGCGTCACGGGATTCACTGTCCGGGTTCGAGAGTGTTTTGGGAGGGTGCCAGAAGGAACTCCATGCTGGTTCGAAGAGGCCTGCGCCGGTGACGACGATGTCGATTTTCGGGAAGGCGGAGAGGGCATTGGACCAGAGACGGGCTAGGCTGGGCCAGGATGCGACGTTTGTTTCTTGGAAGAGGGCTGAGGGTATTGCGTGAGGAGCTGTTGTGCTTCGGGGCGGAGGGCGAGGTCGCCTATCATGACGGAGCAGCCCTTTTCTAAGAGTAGCTTTGCAAAAGCGAGGTTTATGCCTGTGAAGTGTTAGGTACGGGTGCTCTCAGCATATGTCGATGAAGGAAGGGAAGACCTGATCCCGCGCCGGTGATGACTGCGTATTCTCCCGCCACTGACAAAGACATGATGCTGCCGGGGTTTTGTTGATGGAGCTGAGGTGTTGAGTGAGATCTGGATGAAATGAACTCGTCACACTCGCGGGGATGTCGGGCACCTGTGATGGTTAAGCAACCTGATATCGGTGCCGAGGTTTCTTAGACGGGGCCTTAATGTCACCCTTCATCCACTCGACTCTGCAGTGGCTGGGTACGTTGCCCTTGGACGGGTACATTCACCCGGCGCCACCATTCAACCTGTATTCAAATGGGACTGGATGTTGTCGATTGGGATGTGGCTTGAGGGGTCACTTGGGGGTGGCGTGGGGGTGGCCGTCGATTGACAAACCCCACCTGTTCATTCGGATTTGGCATGTCTACAGAGATTATTGGGGTTTCATTCATGTCACAATACGACATCAGTACAAGGTGCCGGTGCTGAAGTGAATGGAGAGTAGTACGAACCACACCACTGATGCTAACCTACCACCAGGAGATAGATCCAACCCTCAACCCGTCTTGGACCCCGTTTCCTCATCAGGGACCCGTCTAGATGCCTCACCCGACGCAACTAACCCCTCCCGACGCCGATCATTCTCATCGTCCTCCGGCTTCCCCTCCCGCGTCGCCCACCCATCAACATACCGCAGCGTCTGCCGGCTCCAAACTCTATTCATGAAGAACAGCCGCACAGGCACCAATATAATGATGATTATAGGAAACCCGGGCGCGGCAACAGTCAAGGTGACGCCAAAGACGATACCCGTGAGCACAATCTGCGCCAGCGTGTAGCAATGGATGCCCATCCAGCTAGCGCCGTGAGGTAGAGCAGGCAGCTCCGAAATGGGCGTCAGGAGCTGCCAGATCCTCGTAAGAATCGGGTTGACCGACAACGACTGGAAGCCCATGAACATGAAGAGGCCCGCCAGGACCGAGGTCGGCGTGAAGCCTAACACGTGCTGGAAGGGCGGCGAGATGAAGAGCAGGATGCCCGCTGCCTGTAGGAAGGCAGAGTATCGCTGCTCGTGGACACGCTGAACTGGCTTCGCGGGGGGCCCTTCGCCGGGCCCTTCTTCTTCGACCTCGTCGACGGGCGGCGGGTCTTCGTAGACGGTGTACATGAGCGACTCGGAATGGAGCGGCGCCTGCGGGAGGAGGCCGTTGGCGGGCGGGATGCCGAGGATACCGCACATGATTGTTGTGATGCCGAGGAGCATAACGTCCCACGCGTACCCGCCCGGCTTCTGCGTGCCGTACCTCTTGGCCGTGCAGATGATGCTACTAATCTCGTGGTCAAAGTAGAAGAGGACGTTGATGATGATACCGGGAATGATGGCGATGAAGATCCATCCAATGGGGAGTTTCCAAAACTCGACAAAGAAATACTCGCGGCTCGGGGACGACGGCCGGAACGACTTTGAGACTTCCAGCCTGTTGTGGTCCAGCGTCGCCAGGTCGCCGACGTACGGCATGCCGATGAAGAAGACGATGGAGATGGCGGCGGCGTACTCGGTCAGGCCCATGCGGAGGTACCTGTGGAACAGTGGCTTCCACGACACGGCGGTTGACAAGGCGATGGCGAGGAGGCATGTGCCCGCGGCGCCGATGATGGAGTAGAGGAAGGCGGCGAGGGAGACGGCTGCTTTGGTGCGCTGGAGCTCTCGGATGGCTTTGTGGAAGTAGATTACGCTGTTGAGGAGGGAGAAGATGTCGGCGCTGAAGTCGGTGACGTATTGCATGGTGTAGTCGTGGGCGTTGAAGATGGCCAGGAGGAAGTGCATCCAGCCCGAGTGGATCAATGACCAGGCCATGAAGGGTAGGAAGGGAATCTGCCATGGTTAGTTTTGATCTTGGGATTTTCTTAATAGACAGCCACAATACCTTGAATGAGTTCTCGCATAAGGTGTAAATATTCTCCGCCAACACTGAAAACGGCCCCGTAACACCAAGAATCGTCAATGGTTGGGCCGAGAACCTGGGAAACTGTGTTAGAGCTGTGGCAATCTAGCAGGGAACAAGAAGGTCTACTCACAAGGCAAAGATGATGCCGCAAAGCCCAGTACTAAACACCACCTCAATCGTGCCCCACGACTCCCCAGTCAAGACATACAAGTCGCTCGCAAACGTGATGCCAGGCAAGATATTCGTAAAGAAGACGTACACCGCGCTCGCCAGGACAAGCTGATTGAACACGGTCCAGTCAGAGAGATACCTCAACCTAAAGTTGCCATAGTCCTCTTTGAGCAGCCTGAATGGCCTCAACTTGCCGTCTCTTTTGATGTAGCCACGCCACCTATGGCTATTGCTGTTGCTGTTGCCCGTGCCATCGTTTCTGTCTCCACTATGTCGTTCACTGCGGCGCCCTTCCGAGCCCGCGTTATGGATCGAAACTTCCTCCCGGTCTTCTGCCTTTTCGGTAGACCTCCTCTCTGCCCGGTCGCTGATGAGGCTGTGCGACTCGCGGACCGGCATTATGGCATCGTCCTGGTGTCGGGGTGAAGGGGCCAAAGGTGGTCCGCGGTCATTGTCAGGCCCCGTGGGCGAGAGGTTTGGTGGCATGTGGGAGGGAGTTTCACGACTATCAACATAGAATGAGCCTGTGTGTAGTCGTAAGATACACGAGATATGGCGGTTCAGTCAGTGGGTTGGTGAATAAGAATCAATGTGCTAGGTCGATCTACACAACATAGAAGTGACCAAGTACATGATCTTAAAGAACCAAGACTAGACAGGAACCAAGTATTGAGCTGGAAATAGAACAAGAAACACTACATAAAAGCCAGAACGGTTAAACGGCAGAGGCGTAAAGAACTCAAACACTACAAAATCCCGCTAACGCTAGCTTCTTGCCCATCCCAACGAACCCCATCTTGCAGCCCAAGGTCCATGGATTCCCTTGACTCGAACTCTTTCCCAGTGGCACTGTGGTACTGCTGCCAGGGCAAGCAAGGGCTTCTTAATAAAGAAGAAGGTTCGGGCAAGTTTCGACAAATCGACATCCCATCATTCCCCACGTGCTCATTGGCCAGTCTTGGCAGAGCAGAACCCCACAGACGCCAAGGTACGCACGGTCCAGGCCGGGATAGCTATCGAGGCTGACGTCATGCTCGTCGGCGTCGGGGCCAGCAGATTGCCCCTCCTCCTTCAGGGATTATGTTTCCTCACGGCCAATCAGAAGATGCGACCGCTGCGAGGCTATCGGACAATCGGCGCCAGGCTGAAGAAATTTTGACACGAACCAACCTTTCATTCTCCCGAAATTACCAGCTTTCAACCACCTGCAAGCGTCAGCCCCTTCCCATCCCAAACCGCTTCTTCCAAGGAAGTCAATCGCCTCTCCCAATGATGAGGAGGTAGTTGCCAGAAACGGATCCTTAGCACAAGGGTGCCCGCAAATCCCGCCAGCCTTCCCCGTCCCCGTTCCCCCCCAACCCACCCCGGCGATGTTCCCGACCACCGCCCGCCGGAGCGCGGCCACCGCCTTCGCGCCCCGCCTCCGCTTCGACGTCTCCGAATCCATCCCCCGCTCCTACTACCTAGGCCACCACCACGCCGCCCTCCGCGAAATCTCCTCCCGCCTCTCCGACGTAGGCCTCGTCCTCGAGTGCCGCGACTACCGCGTCCCCCTAACCAGCTGGAACCCCGTCCTCGACCGCGCCATCGCAGGCCGCGAACGCATCGTCGTCTACACCCACCGCGACCTCGGCGCCGACAGCCCCGCCTCGGTAGAACACGCCCTCCGCCGCTTCCACAATGGCACCGGCCGTTCCCCCATCGGCGGCGGCAACACCGCCACCTCCACAACCAGACAGCGCGTCGTCTTCTGGCGCAAAGACGACCCCGCCACCACGAAACAACTCCTCTCCGAAATCCGCAGCGTCGCCCGCTCCGTCGACAGCCTGACAGGCATGCGCGCCCTCGTCGTCGGCATGCCCAACGTGGGCAAAAGCACCCTCCTCAACAAGCTCCGCGTCCACGGCATGCACAAGAAACAATCCGTCGCAAAAGTCGGCGCCCAACCAGGCGTGACGCGCAAGCTCTCCTCTCCCGTGCGCATCCTCGATTCCGAGAGCAACAGCACCAACGGCGACAGCAACAGCAGCATGGGCCTAGGCGAAGGCGTCTTCGTCCTCGACACCCCGGGCGTCTTCATGCCCTTCGTCTCCGAAGCCGAAAACATGGTCAAACTCGCCCTCGCGGGCTCCGTAAAAGACGATCGCATCCCTATGGAGATCCTCGCCGACTACCTCCTCTACCGCCTCAACCTCACCGACCCGAGCGCCTATGCACGATATTCCGAGCCCACGAACGAGGTCAACGAGTTCCTGATCGGCGTCGCCCGCAGGACGGGCAAGCTCAAGAGCGGCGGGGAGACCAACGCCGACAGCGCCGCCGACTGGATCGTTAAGCAGTGGCGGGTCGGGAACCTGGGCAAGTTTGTGCTCGACGACATCACCGACGAGGCGTTCAAGGACAAAGAGCTGGCCAGGGAGGGGCAGGGCCCGCTCAGCATGAACCAGGCGCGCAGGAAAGAAAAAGAGGCGCGAAAAGAGCGAGCCTTGAACAAGACGAAAGCGATTTAAGGGTAGAGTGCCCAGGCCCCTCTAACTGAAATCGATTCAATGAATCGTGAGTTGCTCCGCGGTCTTGGCTAAACACTCCTGCTGCGTAAGCACCACTTCTCACATCATCGCGCAGGTCAAGATCTCGAGGCAGCGTCAGGCTAGCAGTCGGCCGCCATTGACAATATCCTATTCAGCCCAACCGCGCCAAGCATATTACCCTCTTGAGTTCAAGATGTGAGCTTTGGGCCCATTCGCCAGGACTCCGAAGATGCCCTGCGCCCGCCCCCTTGCATCTTTCCCTACAGAGACGATGCTTCCGATATCACTACCGACGAGACTTCCGACCAACCTTCCGATCATGCTTCCGATAAGAGCTCCATCTACGATCTCGAGCAGCCCCCATCATTGTACATGGAGATGCCCGTGGTGGAGAGCGATGAAACCATGATCGGCATCCCGATGCTTGACTGGATGTGTGTGAGGAAGGAGCTGCTGGTTGAGTGTCTCATTTGATTTTTGTGGGGCCCCGAGGATGAAAGAGTCGATGAAGTGTAAGGAAAATAATGGGCAGATGGTTCACGCAAAGGATACCAGGGCCGCCCGCTCGGGGATGCGGAATTTGAGCACAGGGCGCGAATCTTTCGGCTTGGCAAGTCCAGCATGATAGTGTACTTTACGTTGATTCGTACGGGACGTGGAGAATGCCAAAGTATTCTAGGGACAAACTTCACCCAGTGGTCAACACTTTCCAGTCGCCATCACCAGTACATCAAATCCATGATTATCTCTTGTGAGTTGTCCAGAATCTGTTGCATACGTATATCATGCCCCTTTATATGCAAGCTCCAAGCGACCATACATGGCATAGAAAGGAAGCGGTGAGGTTATGTAGCACATTGGGATGCCTCCTTCTCAGCGGTTTGGCGAGCCGAAGTCTTGTCAGTCTTTCCGCAGCGAGCTGAGGCAAAACTGAATTAAGTAAATGGAAACCCTAGATGAATCCTTTTCGACATCAGCCTTCCGCAGCGGTAGCAGAAGGAGGTCTACATGGTTATTTCCAGTCCACTCCTCTCTAAAACTCATCCGTAGTAAGTGAACTTGAACTTCATGTCTATGTAATATGTTTGAATTCAAGTCCACCCGTTGTTAGTGAACTTGAGTTCACATCTATTGGAAATATTGAATTCTAAGCTACTAATATTGAGTGGACTGGAATTCGTGTTTGTCTAATACATTCCATCACAAAGAGAGGAAGTAAGTTGGAGACCTGTATTGTCGGGAGTAGCGCTGCGAAATATTCTAATTTCAAGTCTACCCGTTTTGAGTGGAGTTGAAATCTATGGTTGTTTGATATCTTCTAAATCTCAAGTCTATCCGTCTTGAGCGGGCCTGGTCACTAAAGGTGATAAGTCTCGTGATCCCTGCGATTGTTCAAGAAAGCAATGCTGTGGGCTATGATAGTCTCTCAGAACCCGCGTTTAGGTTTCTCACGTCGACTTACAGATCGTTTCAGTAGCGTTCCGCGACCAAGCATCGAAAAGAACTCGGACGCGCAGTAGCTCGTAGCGGGACATCTTGTCGACTTCCTTCTCTCGACACAGACAACGGTTTAGGAGTCGTGATCCGCAAAACAGCTGCCTTAAAGCGAAAAGAGGATCTTAAACACTGTTTATCGTACATATAAGCATGTTGAATGCCATAGAGCACCTGCTGGCTACCTAGCAATACTCCGAGATGTTTATGAGTCTGCTCTCTTACCTGGGACAAGAAAGACGATAATTCGGCTTCTATGATGACGGAAAGACTTGTTGATTGTGTCTACTTCGATATGTTAAAAAATGACGTAACTTCCCTGGTTCAAGTATTCCCCAAGGGCTGTGGCGAGGTTAGGGTGTTGTTGTTGTTGTTGTTGTTGTTGTTATTGTGTTTAACGCCGTGGCGGCAAAGGCGCTGCCGCCCTTGCGGCCGACCTCCCGAGGGGTATATGGCGTGGAGGGCCGTAGGCTCGAGCTATATACTCTATAGTACACGCCTCTTCCTAACGTCCTCCAAATCTTGCCCGTGGGCTACTGTCTGTTCTATCCGTCCCTAGTTCCCGCTGATGCCCTAGTTCCGTTGTTACCGTCTGTCCCTCTAAGAGGAGAAATTCGTTAGTCGGGCCTAGGTCAAGACCTAGTCCTTAGTACCGCGGGCAGATCTTCTGAAAGAATTCTGTCACGCGGAGAAAGGCCTGGAAGCCAATAGGATCATTAACGAGGTTAGGGTGGACGATGTGGTGGATAGGATTTAGATTGCCCAGCTGAGTTAAGCATGAGACTGTGACCGTTCAACTCTTGCGATGCTGGACAGGGTCCATGCTAGCGTCAGTACCAGTAATTTTACAAGGGTATTCCAGTGAATGTGCTTTGTCAATCAACAGAAGGCTCTGTAGGCAAGAGGAGAACGTGTCGCCTCTGAAAGGAGAGGAATTGGCACACTGTCTAGATCCCGATATTCTCAAGAAAGGCACTCGCTATTAAATGCCATTTATAACCTTTCATAGAGCTCTAGTCTTTTTCTACCTTGTTTCTTGATGTCAGGCCCATCCCAGTACACTCGTTACAATGATTATCACACTATACCTATAAAATAATAGTTATAATTTTATATAGTTACTCTCTTTACATTTATCAACCTCTTTTATATACGCTTAACTACCCCTATATTCATATATTCTTGCTTCTATATGAGTATTCACCATTTAATACTCTTGTATAAGAGTCTTATCACTTACCTCTTAAAGCTATCGTGCAAGAAAAACTAAATAATATTAAATTAATAGCGGCCCTTACTTATACCTTTGACTATAATATACTACAAGCTAAAAATCTATAATTACCTCATTGTATATATGAGATTAATATGACGTTATAATAAATATAATAAACAAGGACTAATATAAAGACCCGAAGCTACGTAACGTAAACGTTAAGATATATATATTAGCCGACCGGGCGACGAAGTACCTATACTAACTTCGAAGCAATCATAGACCCAGTAAAGTAGCGGGGCCAAAAGACTGAGGCAGCGGCAAATTTAGGCAGCATTCTAGCGGAGCAGTACCAGATTGTCCGTGTGAGAATTATAGAAAGATACCCCACACTCTGTATCAAATACATTTAAAATATCAAGCCTATCTCGTAGGAGAGCAATTTTTGTACACCTTATCCTTCAAAACATAGAAAACGAGTAGATCAGGTTGGACAATACTCGAGATAAAGACCAAACTCAACTGAACTTGGGTGCATCACTAACAACGTCGCCCGCAATCTTGGAGACTCGCAAGCGTCCGGGTATCCGACAACTCTCCTCGAACCTGACATTATCAACTGACAGTAGAACCGCACAACCAGTGCGTACATGAGCAACAACTCGTGATTGAACTGCCTTCAAGCCTTTTGTTCGAACAACATTTTCAACACCCCAAAACAGACCAAACGCCACGAAACATCAAACCGTATAGAGCCGCCAAATGCCGTCGGGGGCAGACTCGTGATATCGTACTCCGAAACGAAAGCAGCCATTCGGCTTCAAGTGAGCGACAATTCGCTTATATAGAGGGCAGTTACGGCCAATACAGGCCTGCTCACGACGCATATTGATTCTGCCATCGCAGCAGATCTCGCGTGAGGGCATCCATCATCTCCACACAATTCAATGCTTTAAAATCTTTCGACTCGGGCCCATTCCCGTCTGTTGCCGCAGTGCCGATAGGCGAGTTCTTTGCTATTGCGGAGTCGCCGTTGACGCTAATCTTTGGCGCATCTGGCGCAGCCGTTGCGCGAGGACTTTGTTGTTGGGAGCTGTTTTGGCTGCTCCTAGATCCCGGTAGTGCTTCGCCAGCCAATTCCACTTGTGTTTTGGAAATGAAGTCGAGGAACGCCGAAACCCTGCGTTTCATGTCGTTCATTGATACTTTGCTGTGGGCACTGTTTGCCTTTGTCCGGGTGTGCTTGGGATGATCGGAGTGGGAATGCCTGCTGGTACCAGCGCCAGCATGGTCGTCGTGATTCCGGCCGATGTCTCTAGACATTGACCTTGCCGGTGTGTCTTCGTTGTCGTCGCGGTCTTTCGTGTATTGGTTTCGACCCTTGCCTCTCTTCTGGTTGTTACGACTTGTCTTCTTGTGTGAGCTTCCGACCGGTACCTGATTCGCAGGCGGGGTATCTGGGGTCGGGGCAGAGGACGGGGGCGCCTCAACAGGCACCACAGGCTCGGTGGTCGGTTTGACAGCAGGCCGAGCTGTCGCAAGGGAGACCTCTTCTGGCGGATCCGATTCTGCGCCCACGTGAGCTTCAGATTCCTTACCCGGATTTACAGGAGTCGTACCCTCAGCTCTCCTGCGATCTGCACGACCCTTCCGCCGATTGGCTGCTTCCGCCCGCTGGCGGTCGCGCTCTTCACGGTCCGACTTTTCACGTTGTGTACGTGTACCGCGGGGCTTCTTGGGTTGGCCATTCCGACCGTTGTTTTCCTCGTCTGTGTCATCTTCAATGGCTTCGGTCTTCTCCGGAGGCGGCGACATCGATGGCGAGCTCGTACGCTGCCTCTTGAGGCTTGCCGAGTTCCTACAACTATTAGCGGGGGGTAGCTGAGTGAACTGTTCTTGACTCACTCAATGCTGTCGCTGCGACCTCGCTTCGTTCGTCTTGAGGTAGTCTCCGTAGGTTCCGAAACGGTCTCTTCTTTACTGGCCTCGATGGCCCGTCGCAATTGTTCATCCTCGTCGTATGCGGCATCCCGGCTGTTCATTGTCGACCTCCGCTTTGAGGCCTGGGTGGCAGATGAAGCGCGGCCCCCATTCCTGCCCCCTTCCTTGGGCGACCTGGTGCCATCCTTGACCAAGGATGCGGCTCGGGACGTTGCGCGCGATGGTCGATTGAGAGGCAAATAGTTCGAGTATCGTTGTCTGTAGGAGTAGAAAGGTTAGCAATGTCAAAGTACTAGAGACGTCGTCGATCGGGTCTCTCCGTATTCAGTTCTGTGTTCTCCGATGACCTTGCCGCCGACCGACGCTTTCCAGTCAATGGCGAGCTTGTGGACGACAAGACCCCGGAAGCTTCTGGACAGAACTGTGGATTGCTTACCCGTTGGCTGCTGCGTGAATTTTGTGTAAATCTTTGCGACAATTCTCGCAAAAGTACTCATCGGGAGAGCTCTCCTCGGTAAAAATGCCGACGCAGGCACCATGTTGCCAGACTTTGCAGACGTCGCACTGGACGAAGAGACCAGAGACCTCATCGGACAGCTCGATGCTAGCGAAGAAGTCCGCCTCTGGATTGTGCTTCCCGTGCTTGGAGTCCTCCTCAAAGGGTGGAGGTCCCGGGTATTCGTCGAAACCACAGACACAACGTACGGACTCGTCGTCCTCTTGGACGTCGTCACTGCCAGTGGCCATATCGTAGGGGTCGACACGAGGCTTGTCGCGAGCGTCTTCTTGGGCGCGGGTTCGGCGCCGCGAGGGGAGAGCGTCCTCAAGGTCTTCGGGTGGCTCCGAGGAGAGCGAGGCGCTCGGGGTGGACTTGGCGGAAGAGGTCTTGTTGAGGGATCTGGTCGTTCGCTCGCCGCGACTCGAAAGACTCGATGTGGTCGAGGATTGCTGTGATTGAGAGACTGTGTTGCCTCGGGCTCGTGAAGAACGTCGAGGGGAGGGTGGTGCCATTGAGGTAGCGTAGGAGGACGGCGGAGAGAGGAGGAGGACGAGGAAGAGTTCGGAAGAGCGAGGAGGAGGGGAGGAAGAGTCGGCGGCGTGTGAGTGACGCAGTACAGGATGTCGCAGTCGCAAGGGTGAAGCCAGAAGGCAGAGAGTAGAGTTGGGATGTCGGGGCGAGGGGAAAGGTTGGTAAGGTGAGGTAACGAGAGTGTGGGCAGAGAGCAGGTCGGGTTGGTTGTTGTGGTTGTAGTGAGAGGGCAGTCGTGCGAGCGAGAGAGTAGCAAGAAATGGATGGGCGCGACTCGCAGTTCTGGCTAGTGAGAAGGGAGGACTCTGGTACCCCAGCAAGACTTTTGAAGGAATCGAACAGTTCGCATATCTGACAATCGAGTACAAGGTAGATTCATGTCGTGACGGGTCGGTAATGTGTAGAAGAGGAGAGAGAGGAGCCGGCGTGGGGAGGTGGAAAAGGTCAGAGAAAGAGTGCGCCGTGGGTAGAATGGTTCTCTGCTCTGGGTGAAGGAAACCGACAGGCGAGTGGACTGGAGCAGCAGCACCGCACTTCTTTCGGGCTTGTAAAGTGTGGTGCGGCGCCTCTTTGGCTCTGGCGTGCAGTGCAGGAGCTGCCACTGCCCACTGCCCTCCGAGCAACGCACCCAGGGAAAAGAGCAGGGCAGCTTTGCGGGGCTGGCGGCCAGGTGCTGCCAATGGGTTACGGTCTACCTTACACCAATGGCTTCACAGGTGATTGTGCTGCATAAGTCGCTGCACAAAAGGAGAAAGGAAGGGATCCCGGAGCGGAAGTGGGATGGGAATTGTGTTGTGCGTCTTGTGCTGTGCTGCCGTCGGAAAAACCCAGTCGATGACAGTCTGTGTACTAGCGACTTTGGACGGCACTGTGTTTCTCCCACAAATTGCCCTCCAAAAAGGCAGAAAATGGGAGTACCTGGGACTAGTCAATCGAGCAACATCAGCCATTTTCTTCCGAGCCCGCCGCCTTCATTGCATCTCTCGAGCACGCTGCACAGGTCCCCCCCCCCCCGCCCAAAGCTACAGTCCATGACTTTCCCCTGCCAACAGTGCTCGTCTAATCTCGAAGCCCAATTTACCACCCGCTTTCCCGCTGTCTCTCCAATATCTGCATCCTGCAGCGAGTCACTTTTATGCACAGCACACAGTGTGTGCATCTCTTCCCTTTCCACTTCCCATTTCAATCTAACCCTTCCGTGCTCCCTCGCTCCCTCGTCACTTTTGCCTGTCCGCTTTGAGCTTTGGAATCTGGAGCCATAAGGTAATTACCTGCCCCCTCCAAAGGCCCCAACCTCCCACCCCAGGCAGTCCATCCGCAGCGGAGCCCTGGCTTGCTTATCTAATGCGTTTCGACCGGCCCTTGTTGACCTACGTCTCCTAATCACACACCAGACATTATCAAATGCTGTCATTAGCAATCAAAGCTGGGGAATTCGATACCAACCTTGACTTTCCCACACTCCGTCCAGAGCTCGACTAAACTTGCCGTCGCCTTTGCGTTTTACCTGAACGTCGTCTTGCGCCTGACTGCACACTCTGCTTCTTTTAGCTCCTGTGTGCCCAAAGTCGAACACGGAGCAAACCCGGCCGAATTCTGGTGGACCGAGTTGGTATGCCCGCTCCCCTCTTCTGGCGAACAAGTAGAGGTCCGCTCGTACCTCACCTGAGCTTCGTTGCGCTGCGCTCCCTTGATTTGTTCAAGGGTAGGAGGAAATTATCGATCGGACCTGGTTGAACGTGCAGCATGTGTTTGTCTGGCTTGTCGTTGGGCCAGCTATCTATTGCGGACATACGCTGATGGTTGGGCAAACTCAGGAATCAAGGGTTACGAGCTCCTCCCGCATTTAATACGGATCCATACCCCCCCCTTCCTCGCGAACCTCCCAACCCACCGAACGAGAGCCTTTTTTGCTCCAGCAACACCAACACGATCCCCCGTCGCACTGCTGGCAGCCTCAAGCTTCGTAACGTGAATCGCCCTGTCCGCGTTGGCCTGCCTTGCATGGCTTGTAGCATGAGGTGTTATGGGTATGCGTCGCTCTTCTCCAAGTTCAACTCCCGCCACCACCTTGCCATATCCACCTTCTCGACCACTGCTTTCGAAGGATGCTGCCACTATAGTCCTCCGCCGAATGTCAGGCGCTGCTGAATCGGCGCTCGAGACTTTGGAGCTGGCTGTGGCGGCCGACTGCACAGGTCATGCGCCTTTGAAACTCACCGGCCTGAGGCTTTATCATTCGACCGAGAAGCTTGCTAACCTCGATGGTTCTTATGCGGAAGCAGGTCATAATCGAACAATGTCTCCCGAAAGCGTCTCCTCTCTATTCCCCCAGAGGCCGATTCGTCCCTTGCCGAAACGTCGCTTGAGGGAACGCCTCTCTCCTGAGGTGGCGGACTCCATCGAGTACCCCCCTGCGAACCACAACAGTAGCCCTCTGTTCTACTACCCAAATATTGTGCGAGATGAGATGCCCTTGAGGACAGGAGGCTTGAATGGTGCGAGTCGAGGCAGTGGAGGGTACGGGGGAGCACCTCGAGGGACCCCGGCGATTGGAGAGAGTGACGAGGAGGAATTGGCGCTGAGCAGCAGCAAAGTTGTTCGGCGCTCGCATCCAGAGATCCTTAACCGCGTCTCAACGAAGCCTCCGAAACCGGAACACTTCAAGCACCCCAGCCCTCAGCCGCCTCCTTCGACAACATCCTCAGCAGATGGATACGAATCGTTCGAGAACACCAACAACAAGAAGAAAAGGAAGATTCCGACTGCCGGAGACTCGTCGCTATCTGGTGTACATTCCCTGGGTGACATCAACTCTATAGGTGTATCAACAGTGATGTCTCCGTCAAACGACCACGGTGACTTCGCTGGATCAATATCGCCGTCATACTACGGGGCTGGAAGCTTTGTTGGAAACAACCAAGGTATCTCAGGACCGGGAAGAGGCAGATTCGGAAGATCAAGAAATGGCAGAAGTCCTCTCAGGGCTTTATGCGACGCAACAAACAACTGGGTGGGCAGGGGAGCGAAGATCCGGCCTCCTCAATGGGCCACGCCAAGTAAGTTCCCCATGTGTCTAGGACAAAATCAGATGGGAGAGGCAGAAGAAGTCGAATAGGATGCTGCAGTGCTTGATGGCAGTGGCGATTGCTGCTGGATGGAAAGAAAGGCAGCTGCTGCACCTCATAGCAGGTTGCTCCTGCACCCTTTGATTCCAAACGCAGGCATCCACGCCATTAGCTACAAACAGTGGCCCCTTTGCTTCCTCACCTCAACTTTCTCTCCAGCAATCACAGCATCCTCCATTTTCGCGTATTTATCACAGCTAGCTGCTTTCTTGGGATACGCCGCTAATTCCTACACTTACAGACGAAAATCCCGGCATCATTTCCAGTGCCATCGCTAATGCAGAAAAGGCTCCTTCGGCTCCCGGCCAGGAAAACGTGAGCCTTCTTCATCAGCAATCCTCCAGCGTCAAATCTAGCCCTACTGCCACTCAGTTCACTTTCACTTGCGATTCCCCAGTTCCAAAGCCTCACTGGCCTGGAACTGATCCTGCGATATCCCATCCCGGATACCCCAGACAAGCCAGACACGCCTCGATGGCGACACAGACTGCGCCAGACGCCGCCGGCACGGAGACTGGCTCAGGCGATCCTGCGCCTGCTGGCAAAAAAGCTCCCCGGCCCATGTCGAAGAAGAAGCGCCGTCAGCTTGCCGAGAAGGAACTGCGTAACGCAGCCAAGTCACGTCGTCAGGAAGCCGAAGAGAGATACTACAAAAATCCACCCAAGCTTGAAGATATGTGGATTTGCGAATTTTGCGAGTACGAGAGAATCTTTGGCTCGCCTCCTTACGCCTTGATTCGGCAATACGAGATCAAGGACAAGAAAGCCCGCGAAAAGGATGAAGAGCGCAAGCGGCTTTTGGAGAAGGCCAAAACCAAGGGCAGGAAGGCCAGGAAGCAAGCCAAGTCGCCTGCCAAGACGGCATCATCTCAGAACCACGCCGAGAGCCAAATCACTCAAGCTTCTGTGGGCCCTGACGAGAGCAACTCGAGTCCTGGCGATGACTATCTCGACGACTATCCGAACGGCAACTATCACAACGACGAAGATTTTGAAGATACATACTCTCAAGACGATCCGCCAATGTTGCTCAGCGACGATCCAGATCAAGAGTGTACTTGCCCACATACAACCTGCAGTGATTGCGGCGGAGACCAGAATGAGGTGGATGATCCTGGCGAGGCAGTTGACTGAGGAGGTCCACTCGCAGGCTTCCTGGGGTGCACAGCACTGTGATTTTGGGTACCGCCTATGGTCACCTTCGCTTACCCATACTTCAATATATCCGTTATCGCATCGATCCGACAACACAGCATTGGCCTTACAGGTCTCAGTGTTGGAGGCTGGTCATTGCCTGGTTCGCAGGTGAAGGAAACACCAACACACTTGGACATTGTTTGATGATATTGGACGTATCATGACCCACCAAGTTGGGGTTTGGATAAAGGCCCTTTTCAACTACGGATTGGAACATGACCTCGTCATCAACAGGATTCTATCATCGGCCAGCACCATTGTCGGCAATGGAAGTTGGCAACAACCGAAAAACCAAAAAAAAAAAAAAAAAAAAAAAAAATAATATTTTTAGGCAATACTCGGCTCAGAGAGTTTGAGTTCTATGCCATGATGATGGAATGCACCACGCGTTGCCCATGTGTTCGAAGAGAACACTCGGCAATGAATCAAGCTCTTGCTGCGGTCCTTAGGGAAAGCTTTTGAGGGAGGCTTGGAACTTTAATCAAGGGGCAGGGATGGATATCGGTTCAGCCAGGTCTAGACTTTTGAGGCTCGAGAGAGGGAGAAGACAGGGTGTCGAGTGTCTTGTAGAGGTTACTTGTCAAAGATGGATACACGCAGGCCTTACCCCCAGACTACAACAAGTCGTCCTCAGCAGAATTGACCACCCTTACCCGATGTTGCTTCTATTGTACGTGATTTCTCTACAGAATGCTGGTCACAGGTATCTTTGATAGACCTCCACTACCTTAATTGTAAGGTGCCTGGTAAAGACCCGTAGCTAGATGCACCTACCAAGTATGACGTCACGGACTGTTGTACTGACTAAGGTGGCATGGAGCGGTAGGTCTAGCCTCCTCCATCGGGACCCTACGAAGCTAACGACTCATTTACAGAATATTGCCTTATTAAGCGGGCTCCTTCAGACTATGTCCCCGTCATTGTTCGGAGTTTTCCAGTTCCTGCTTGTCCGCCTCACTCATACCGCTTGAACAGCAGCTTGCTGTTTGACTTTCCTCACGAGCCACGGAAAGTGAGTTAGTGAGATGGGAGAAAATCAAGTAGGGACTTGGAGTCTGTGTTGTAAAATGATCGCCTTGTCCTTTGGCTCCTACATATTTAGAAGTGAGGTAGGAATTAGAACAGAGATGGCTTGGCCTACCGGCGGAGGTCGCAGCGTAAAGACCGACTTCGGCACTACCGTAGGCTCTGACCGCGCTATCCGCTCGGGAATGCTTGGGCTTCCGGGGGACTTGTGATGTTTGGGAGACAGCTATAAGGAAATTGGGGAGATTTCCGTTTCTTCCGATTGACTGTGTGTTGTGTGGCCGATGATTGCGGCTTGGGGGAGCATGCATGGGCCTTGGAGGTTGATGATGTGTTTTGGGGGGTTCATGGTGGGTGTTATTGGGGTCGTCGGAGGGGCACTCTCCCCGGAGAGTCACTCCGGATCGCGATGTTGCGAATGTATTAATCTATCGCAAAGCCTCAATCTACGCGGCCCGTCCAGGAAAAGAGAGAGCAGAACAGACAGATCTGAGATCAAGCTTCTCACCATCCGCTAGAGCCGTTCCGCGCAAGCCGTTGGCGGGTTACGCCGGAGAGCTTCCAAATCATAATACCTACGGAGCAGAGAGAGGGAAACAGAGACTGGCAAGACTGGACAGTGGAAAAGCTTCGCTGTCAGTCGGGCCAGGCCTGAAACAACCCTGTCCCATCCACCATCCCACCACCCACCACAGCAAGCCCCAGGTGCCAGGGCCCCAGGCCAAAAGGTTCTGCGAGACGTCGATCAACTGCTCCACATGAGGTTCGGCACTCTGGAACTTTGACGTATCCGTCGGTGGGTTGTACTCATGTCGGGTACTTTGTACACCCCCAGGTGGTGGTGGTGGCACTTTCCTGCCGTTGGCTGAGCCGCCTCGCATGCGAATCATGCCTTATGAGAGGGAAGGGCTTTGGGAGTGAAAGAAAAGAAGACCGGCTCCTCGGTTGGCTGCCGTGGCTGCTTCACCAAGGTCCTAAACAGCCGAGACTCGATTAGTTCATTCGGTAGGACTTGTCCCTTCAAAGACATGAGACCTCTAGATTTCTCAGACACGACGGATGGATCATCGGGGGGTAGAGTGTAGACAAGGGGGGAACAATGGAAACGGGAGGATGTTGCGGATTGATGCGTGTTCCTTGAGCCATTGCTACACTAAGCGATATCTTGCGCGATATCTCTGTACGTATAGGATACAGGTGACAAGACAGTCTCGACTATGTCTGTGTGTTCTGTTGTGTCTTGATGACGACGGAATTGTTAACCAACCCCCAAGCAGCATCTTGGGCCGAAGTTTTCTTCCTTTGGTCTTGTCTTTTCTCGGATGGGAGTGGACCAATGCCTGTGAGACACAGGGTGCCAGGTCATCGAAGCTGTCACAAAAACCTCGCAGTAGATCACCTCACAGATCAGGTAGCCAGCACCAGTGAGCGAGGGAGTTGCCAGCAAGTTGGCCGTAGTAACAAGCAACACCTAAGCTCCCAACCCAGCTACATGCTGCAGTTGCATGCTGCCCAGCGCCATGCCAGCTCGACATGGGCATTGGGATTTTTAGCAGCAGGGCCCGTCGGATTGGCACCCTCTTGCTTTGAGACACTGGGCCAGACCCGGCATGGCGTTGTCCCAAAACAGAAAGGCGGCAGAGCCGAAACAAGGGTGATTCCAGTAGAAAGAAGAAGCCTCCAGCCAGCAGCGGTAAGGTGCAGGTCGCTCGCCGCCTTTGCATTGCATTTCGCTGTCAATCTGTGTCCATACTGCGTAAGGTAGTGGATAATGAATGTACTTCTGAATACCTATGTATCCGTAGGTGGACAGGAATGGAATGGGAGGGGAAAAAAGTGAAATGAAAGCAGCGCACAGAGCAGGGGCCTCTCTCCCCACCCCCCATCGTGGCTGAATTCCGACTCACCTCTTCCGTCATCATCCCATCGCATCCCGTCCCATCCACGTCCCTCTAATCCACCACTTCTCCCACCCCAGCTCCTCCATTTTCCTTCCCCCAGGGATATCACCACTCGTCCACCAACACCGACACCACCACCTTGAGCCCTCTGTCGCTTGGCCTCCCCAGGACAAACTCCAACTCTCCAAAGTCATCCAAGCCGCCCCCCTTCCCCCCCACACCCAGTGGACTTTGTTCCTTAGTCTTCACTTTTACTTACTTTTCTTCCTGCGCTTCCCTATCTTCTCCTTCACCTTTAATTCCATGCAACTTGCTACGAAACCATCTCAGGCCATGCGCCGTTGATCGATATTCCCGAACCCAAAGCAAACATGTTTGGAGGTTCGAGAAGGCACCGTCAGGCCAATCAGGTATGTCGTCATTATGCCGACTGATGCTTTTTCTGCCTATAGTTTCTCACCGCACCGGCTTGCTGCATGTTTGTTCTTCACCACCAAGAGCACTCTCACTCTCCCATGCGATTTGCGCTGCCTTCGTTCCTGGAGTCTGTGGTTCACAACTGACCCTGTTGCCGTCTAGCCATTGACCGCCGCAACCGCAAATCCTAATGCTGCTACGGCAGCTGCCTCAGCCTTTGCGCGACGCGCATCCAGCTCGTCTCTGTCATCTGCTGCCGCCGCCGCTGCCTTGCGATCGCGACCTACAACACCCATCAATGTCGCCGAAGTACAGACAAAGCGGACACAAAGGCGCAGTCGATCGGTCTCGTCGCAGCGAAGCCAGGACACTCAAAGGGACCTACACCGATCGCCTAGCCAGAACTCCATGACCGAACGGACCTTCCGCTCACCTTCACCACACCGAACACCGATAGCTGCTGCCCCCGATGCGCCACCAGTCCCGAATATCCCGGACGACATGCGATCCATCACGAGCCAGAGCTCTTCCCACAAGAGGTCAACGAGCCTACAGATGCAGCCGTTCCGCGTAGCGAGTCAGAAGAAACAAGACGGCGCCGGATCGTGGTTTGGGGCCGCGCACGAGGGCAATTTGGCCAACGTGAGAACGTCGGATGCCCCAATGCGCGTCGCCTCTCCAGAGTCTCGCCCGGGAGCTGTAAGCCCAACTTCTTCTATAAACTTTTCATATCCGAGGGTGCCAGGCGCATCGCCCCCGGCATCACCAACCATCGAGAGCATGTCAATGACAAGTAGCCAGCGATTTGTCTCACCCCGCCGATCAGAGTCAGCAGCGTCGCGCCACACGACGGCGTCAGATACTCAGTCACTCGTGTATGATCCCAATTCGAGGAGGATGGTTCCTAGAGTGAGTCTGCTGGTAAGCGAACAGAAAGTTCGGGATGCTGCTGAGAAGCCCGTCAAGAAGTCAAAACACCAGCAAGGTTTGTCCAGAAGTGGTTCCCACTTGGCCAAAGGTACGATGGGGAGAGCGCAAGGCACTGCGGTCGCAGCTGAAGAGCCCACGCGTGCAAGTGCGTCTACCCCTGCATCGACACCAGCACCGAAGCAACAATCACAAGTTCGGGTTCCCACCGGTGCTCCCGAGCAACAAAGTCAACCTCAAACTGAGGAGACTGTACCGCCGAAGACTGTACCGACGCATCACCAGCAACCGCCTCCAGCACCTGTCGTAACCATCAAACAGCTTTCTCAACGTGAAACAGAAACCGCTCACACGCAACCGGCATCTAACCCCGAGGTAGAGCAGCCGGTTGTGCAGGATGTACGTAAGAGTGATGGTGCCACGATTCTGCCGCATTCGGAACCTCGCCAAGGCGCGCCCAAATTAGGAAGGAAACCTTCTATAGTACAGGAGGAATCCGAGGACGATCTGGAGGATTCCGACGAGGACGAAGCCCCACAGCCTCCGGTGCGCCACGATGTTTCTGATGTTCTTGACGCCGTACCTGTGAGGTCTTCAGCGCCCCCGAAGCAACCAACGCTGTCATCCGAAAGCACAGCTGTCGAAGCTCCAGCACAGACGTCGTCCCAAAGGCAACCTAGTCCTTCACAGCTTAAGCAGCATGGCAGTATCAGGAACGGACGTGCTCACTCGAGCAGTCCTGCAAGATCAGCACGCTTTGCATTAGGCGCAGATCAATTAGCCATCAGGCACGAGCCTCCTCCTCGATCCGTCTCGCCTCGAAAGTCCGCCATGAAACATTCAATTAGCCCATCCCGCGGTGCCTCACCGTCAGATGAGGGCTCTGAAGCGTCGGGGCCAAGCCGGTTTGGCAGCGAGGTCACCGCAGTGGAGGCGCCGGTGCCACGCAAAAAGAGTGTACGGGTCAGCTTTGACGATGAGAACACCAAGGTCGTAGGACAATCCGCTGCAAAGCCGGAGCTGGATTCACCTCTTCCCTTGAGTCCTCAAAACACGAAACGACATTGGTACAACCACCTGGGCCGAAGCCGAAAGAAAGATGCGGTTGCCCTGGATGAAGACGAAGTCATGCAACCACGACCCGCCTTGCCCACATTCGGCAGTGTCCGTGAGAAGATGCCGCGGGACAGTGAGGAGGAGCGGCCACTCGTACGGCCCACTGAATCACCGACGACATCTGGCCCAGATACCCCGGAACGCACACCGGACCGGTCGATCCCACTTGGGCAGTCCAACGACCACAATGTTGGCTCGATTCTCCATCTTCAGGAGCAGACGGCTAGAAACCCTGCAAACATATCGAGATTCAGAGAGCCATTGCCGCCCGTGGTTACGTCGATGGAAGGTAGTGGCTATTATTCGCCCAGCAGCACGAGTTCGGAAGATGAAGACGAGGCGGAAGTTTTCCAGGACTCAGAGGTTATCCAGGAGCCCGCGCCAACCTTGCCTCCTGCGCAAGTCAAGGAGGAAATCATTGCCGACCATCCTGAATTGGTCGACCAGCCGCAATATTCGACAGGCCCCGTTCACGAGAATAACATTGAACGGCAAGAGGATTACCTCCCTTCTATCTCCGTTATTCAACCGACACCAACTCCCAGGGAGACAGTCAGCAACGACCCAGCCAGTCTGTCAGGTCCAAGCTACTTTGATGTTCCGGGAGGTTTCCCGAGCGATGACAGCGAGGACAACGGTCCGCAAACCCGCGCTGTGCCTACCACAGATGTGACGAAGCATGATCAGCCGACATCGACGGCAGTTTCCAACGGCGCCGCCAAATCTTCCGCAATTGCCGTTCCCCAATCCATTCCCACCGATGAATCTGCGTCCGAAGGCGATAGCATCTACAGTGACGCATACGAAGACCTCTCAGATATCGACGGAGACGGTTTCATGTCTCTCGACGCCGTTGTCGCATCACCCGTTTCCGACAAGGTTTCTCAGAAGCTCTACAAGAAGGCTCTAGCAGATTCCCAAAAGGGGACTGCTCACGACGCTGATGTCTCAGGAACGCACTATGCGCCGGACGTTTCGCAGTTGTCAAATGGCTCGCAGCAACCAGAGGATGAGTGGGAGAAGGCCAAGCTCTACTGGAAAGGATTGACAAGTGACAAGCGGAAACAACTCGAGCAAGAGGCGTTGGAGGAAGCCGGGGCCGAAGGCGACCTCGAAGAGGTTGGCCAGCCCGTGAAGCCCAAGAGGAAGAAGTCTGTTCGCAAGAGCGACCCTGTCGAACAACAGCAGGCTTCCACCAACCCAGAACGCGTTTACCAAATCCAGTCTGGAACTAGAGCCGCCGATGAAGAGGACCAAGCAGAGCCGCCAGTCGCTATTCGGAAGACTATGCGAGGACGGCAGGCTCAAGAGGCAGCACCAGCTAATGGGAGACTCCAGAAGACAATGCGTGGTGCACCTACACAGCCGTCTGCGGCTACAAACTCCGGTATGCGAAAGTCGATGCGATCGGACATTCAAGCTCCTCAAGGCTCTCACCAAACACAAGCTGCGGCTCCTGGAGGCATGAGGAAGTCTATGAGACAGAATGGCTCGTCTCAATCAGGGGCTGTTCCCCAGCAAAGGGCAGCCCCCGTAACTTTGACTAGCCAGGACACTCGTTCTAAGCACCTCTCCATGGACAGCACAATGTCGAGCGTTGAGATGGCGAAAGCCATGCAAGCAGCGATGCAGTCGACACCCCGTCGACGAGGATCCGATTCCAGCGAGACCAGTTTTCGACGGTCTCGGCCAAAGCAGGAAGGATTTGGCTTCCGAAAATCGATGCGATCCAATGGGGAGGCCGAGCAGGCGGCGGCCGGTAGGAACTCGCGCTTCAGCCTCCGGTCAATGTCTCCACCCGCCTCGCCGTCTCAGCCACCGATTAGCATGGGCAACCGTACAACTATGCGAGGCACGCTGCGAAGTGATTCGAGTGATGGAAGCACGCGTCGCATGCGCCTACCGTCTTTCGGCAAGTCATCTTCCAAAAAGGTGACGGGAAACCCGGCGAAACCGGGGAAGAGCCGCTTTGGCGACTCGAGCGACGAAGACGATGCTGGGCCCTCTGGATTCCGCAGCCGATTTGTCGACTCTAGCGACGAAGATGAAAAGACAGCGCCTGCATCCGCACCGCACAACGTGCCGAAGAGCATGCGCGCATCAAGCTCCGCTGCAGCGGCTGCAATGAAGGTCCCTTCTCCTCGATACGACGAAAAGGCAGAAGATTCTCCGGACCTGCCTGACAGTAGCGACGAGGAGGCGCCGCCGCTGCCGGTTCTGCAAAAGCCTAAACTATCTCCGAGAAAGGTCTCTGGCGCTAGCGGCCGCCTGGTGAAGTCTCAAACGGACGGTCATGGCTTGCCGTCCTCGGGGTCTCCTCGTGGAGGGCTTATGGAGTCATCCACGGCTCCTGTCGTCAACACCCGACCAAACCACGAACGCAGAGGCAGCTTCCTCTCTATTCTTCGGCGCAGAAAGGACTCTGATGCCGGGAAGATCTCTCGGCCCGCCGCCGGCGAGAGCGGCGCCAGGATGGACACGAAGCTGGAGCGCAGCGCCTCGGAGATCTCGGCTCTCCGTGGCACAAACGGGTCGAAGCTCCAGAAGCTACCCATGGAGAACTGGCCTCTCGTTGAGGAGAACTTTGACGATGAGAAGCGCCCGATGACGGCTGATAACAACAAGCCCGTGGACGCGTCCAGGCCGACGTTTATGAAGCGCCGGAGCACCAACCAGGTACTTACCTCGGGGTATCAAGAAGACCAAGAGAGCGTCCTGCTGGACTCCTCGGGCAAGAAGAAGAAGAAGTTTGGCACGCTCAGGCGCATGTTCAAGCTTGATGACTAGTCGTCCGGGGTATGCTGTTAAGTCGGCCTCCCCTACGCTACTTACTTATAGTGGCCATCACATCACACCGGCCATCATTTTCGAATTTGTGATTTTCCTCTTTTTTGGGCATACGACACCCACGACCCGCATTACAACGGAGTCGCCCGGCAAACTTACCTTTACTTAATACGGCGCAGTCGTCCACTTCAAGAGGCGTACTGGCTTTCTCACTCGTTTTCTACATCCAAAACCCACAAGTGGGAGCGGGCGTTTTGAAGGAGGCTTCTGGCGTAGACACATGTGCAAAGGAGTCGACTAACTGCTACTTCCATACCACAACACACGCATGTTACAACACATACACTTAAAACAAGGCTTTACGTTTCTTTACCTTTTTTTTGTACGTTTATGAACAGTACCGCTTTATGAGAGGCGAACTCTGGTTTCAGGGAACGGGAAAGCACGATATGGGATACAGGAGTATCACACACCAATGGGAAGTCCTCACTGAACCCCTTGGAGGACAATGCAAGGTGGTGGAGAGAATGGGATATATATACAAGCATCAGGACTTTTATCTTTTGTTACCTTTCTGTCATTATGATACCAAACAATAACTACGGGGTATTGTTCGAATGCAAACATTGTGTTTCTCTTATTGAAACCATTTCATCTTTTGGTGGCGATGAATGTGTATTTCATCCGGCTCACTGTGATGAGGTGTGTGATATGACCCCTTTCGATCTGATGCCGACTTAATCTAGGCGGAATGAAGTCAGATCAACGGCACCTCAACCGTGGAATCTAACAACCGAGGCTAGTTGACGGTGACGCATCTTCAACACGTACTAACGGGGTTTGTTCAATTCTTTGAGTAAGTATCTCGATAAGTGTGAGGAGAGTTTTAGGCCAGGCTTCTCTTAGAATCACCTTCACTGGGATACGGAAAGATGCGTCCTAGCTTCCTGGATGTGATGGTGAGTCCCCACAGCACTTGATGTCTTCTTGTCCAGGTTGTATTTTCTTCCTCCTTTTCTCCCAACTACACTCAGCCTAGAACATTTCCAAACGAGCAGAAAGACTAGGAGAAGAAGGTAGAGAACCGTTTTGCAGCAATACCGTCTAGACGGCAGTTGACCACATGGTAAAAAGCCATTGGTCCAAGTTTTCCCCCCTTTCCAGTTTCTATGCTCGTTGGGGTCAGTCTGCTGCTTCCTTTCCTCCGGGGTCCAAGCGGAAGAAGGACTGAGGACTGTGCCAGAGCTCACACCCTCCCTTCCACGATGCCTCGGCCACGGAGGATTGCAACGTCAAAGTCTCGAGCGAGGTACATCTTTCAATCCTACAGGTGCCCTCCATCTCCTCAGCTATAGAGTGTAGACTTCAGGGGGTCTCTCCGCCCCGCCCACTACTCAGCTGACAAACAGCCTGAGAATATCGGGAGAGAACGAGAGCTTCGGGTGGACAGTGAGAGCTTTGGGAGAGAGAGCCCATCTGTCAAGATCCAGCCCACAAGACAAGCAGAGCATCATTCGAGAAGCCGAGGATGCGGAGCAACTTGCTCGGCTCCTCCACCTCCTTCCCGCTTCCCGAAGAGACTTGCCGATGGCGCGTCGATCCGGAAACGTACATCAGGTACGTGACGGACTCCCTCCTGAGAAAGCCGAGCCCAACGTCCTCAATCAGAGCAGAGACATCCGCAGCTGTCTGAAACCTTGAACTTCCCCATGACAAGAAGGCGTGTTCTTGACAGACGCGATAGAAAACGGTCTGTCATCAACGGCCGATTCGTAGGGGGGGGGGCCGCGCTCGCGGAAGAGAGAGAGAGAGAGAGAGAGAGAGAGAGAGAGAGAGAGAGAAGTTCCGGTTTGCTGCGCACAATAGCATTGTACCATTTCCCATTCCCCCTAAACCCCCGTCCGTCCCCCCTATCAGACGAGTGCTTCGAGAAGAAATCCAAACAACGTCATGGCGGGACAATACCCCAGAGTCCAAGCGGGCCTTGACGACTCATGGCTCAAACCCCCCTCATCGGTGTAGTAGCTTTACAGTCGGTGAGTGGCTTCGGAAGTAGTCATTGGCGTATTGATTCAAACCATCGTCCCACTCAACTACACGTCGTTGAATGGGAGCTCGCCTGACTGTGTACTTGACTTGGCTTTTTCATGCCATCGCGGATCATCCGTCGGCCGGGAAAAGGCGGAGAAAGGAGACTATGTGTCCCAACGCTGTGCCTGCATCAGGCGGGCGTGTGGAAATTCGACTTCGTTAGCGTTACGTAGCGCAATGCTACTATTTGACAATGGTGTCAGGAAACTTCGGCTGTTGTCATATTTTACCTCATGCGGTGGTGCAAAAGTTCATCTTTGGCTGGGTCAATGTCTTCCCACGAAACGACCAACATGGGATGGGCTTGCCAGACGAGGAAATGAGGCGACAAAAGAGGTGATCTTCGTCCTCCACCATGATGTCGCGTGGGAGTGAGACGGGAACAGCTTTTCCACTCCCCCGAAAGTAGCAACGGATAGCGGTTGTGTTCGGACTCTTCATCAAGTGATTAGCCAATGGCTCCATGTATTGTTGTTCTGGGGAGGAGCTGTGGTGTCGCAAGGTCGCGGCACCTGGTCACACGACGTGGTTCTCGGATGCTCCCCCGCATTGAATGAGATCAGAAGACCACGGGGACAAGGGGAAGTTGGGGAACGGAACGGGACCGCGAGGTCGGGAAAAGCAAGCTGCCCGGTCCGATATTGGTTCCCCAGACTTTTTTTTGTCTTAGCTACTCAGGCAGCGAGGCGCAATAGGGGCTGCAGAGCGCTTACAACAACAAGAGTCCTTTTGCATATGTAGTCTGGTGATGGAACATTCGCAGAGAGGCCTAAAATGCGGGTAAATGGAGCTCGCTGCAAATTTTTCTTTTGCACTTTTCTTTCCTTTGTCACCTACACACCTTCGATCCTTCGCAAAGATGGACCTTGCGCCGGGAGCCGCCCCAGAGTCCCCGCCAGCTGTCAGACATATCGACTCATGGCTAATGAGAAGGTAGCGAGCGGTGAGAACACCGAGGACTTATCGGTGAACGGTTCGCCTCAGACGTCGAAGAACCATGACTGATACCCTGGGGTTTGGTGCACATTGTCTCGGCCAGCGCGAGGTTTGGACCAGTGGGAGATGCGCCGGCTCGCACGCGACCGAAATGATGGATTGCAGTGGCACCAGACAGCTCCATGGTAACTTTTGCTAGGGATAATCGTCCCTTGTCACTGCCATGGCAGACTGGGATACAGGGTATAGAAAGCCAAGTAAGGCACACCAAATCGAGACGGCGGCCGGAAATCGTCCCAACAAGATGGCAGGCGGGCTTGCTTCGGGATGGAAGGTTGACCGGAAGACGCAGTTGAGACAACAAATCCAGGGCAGTGCTACAGGTACATAGCCCCCAAGTCACCGACACGAGCATGTTCAGCTCCGACCTGAACTGAGGTAGGTATCGTCTCTCTTTCTGCGTGCCTGTCTCAAGCCGTGAGAAGCCGCGACCAGGGAAGATATAAGAGCTCATGTGATATCCGCACGAATGGCTATCGGACTCGGCCGGTTCCTATCTGTCAATTCAGAATTAGAGAACAGGCAATCAACAGGTAGCGCGACTGGCAATTAAGCTGGGCCAGGGCTGGGGCTTGGGTGTGGCAGGTGGATGGCTGCCGGCTCCCAACTCCTAGGGGCGAACACCACCAGAGACGGACCAACTCACCAAGCCAAGGCACACACCAATTTGTTCTAGAACGCCATTTTCTGGGGACGTGGGGGCCGCATCCTTGCTGGGGTTATTTTCGCGGTTTAATCCCGGTGCGATGCGCCAGTGCCCTATTCCTTGGGAGTGTTCGTAGACCGTACTACGTAGGTGTAAGAGAGCTCCATACACAGTAAAGTGACTGCTGCAGGTCTACTCTGTTCGTCACTCAACGTGATGGATTATGGTGGCGAGCTGTGCCCCATGAGTGGTGCCTAGCAGTGAGGGGAGGTCGATCAGATGGCGCCTCGTGAATATCATCTGCCAGTCGCCGAAAACGTGGTTATTGAAGACTGTGTCTGGTACTGTCCATCGTTGCAATGCCGTCCCGACTCCCGATGGCTGTTGTACGGGTATAGTGACCAAGTTGCGCCGTCAGTGCTCGCCGGGGAGCCTCGGTGTATTCGTTGCAGGCAGCTTGACGGAATTAAAACAGGCGCAGGTCGCAAGTTGCGGGTCGTAGCCGGGACGGTGCAGACAATCGCAGTCTCATCACAGGCGGATGTGCGGCGAAAACATGGGTGGACCCGAGGACGATGAGATGTGAGATATCGTGGATGGCAGATGGAGAAGTTGATAGAGAACCAGATTTCACGGTCTAGAGCCTGATGGACCGAGGTACGTGTCCGATCTCTGATGTTGATGTGTCGACTTTTTGTTTAAGCTCGCGATTGCGCATGAAGTGTGGGCAAGAGGAGAGAGACAGAGAGAAAAGCACATGCAGAAACGGGAGGTGTTGGTAGTTGTGGTGGTCGCTGTGGTCGTGGGTGCTGTTTCGGGGAGGTACTTTTGGCAGAGGTTATCTCACACGGCAACGTCGGCAGAATTTGACATAGGCTCATGTATCTAAAGTACCCTCTCTACTCCGTACGGGCTACCTTGATTGCGGAACGGAACTAACGTCAGGTAACCTCCATCCACAACGGTGAGGCCGTGAACTAAGGTAGGAAGGCGGACGGACAGACACAGAAGCAACGCAACAACAGCCAGCAGGAGCATCGGCCCAAGTCACACCTGAATGGTGCGTAAGGAGCCTCGTGTAGCTTATCTTTTTCCTCCCTGCGCTTTATCATCAGTGCACCTGGTGTACCTCCCCGGTGGCTGTCTCTCACCCAAGATGCGTGGATGCTAAGATCAAGGTACATGGGACTGTACTGTAGTGGACTGGAATGCGCCGTTTGTTCCCGTTTTCCCGTTTTCCCGTTTTCTCCCTGGCCGTGCCCCCCTC